ACAGAATCTAGTAGCGGAGCACCATTCTGGGAAAACAAATCACCGGGGAGTAGAGGAGACTCTTCGTGCATTGAAATTGCTCTATTATTGGAAAGGTATGGGCCGTACCGTACGGGACTGCGTAGCGCAGTGCGAGGTGTGCCAAAGAGCAAAGTACGATCGTCAACCTCCGGTAGCCGAACAAGTAATCACCCCTACCGCTATAGAACCCCTGCGAGCCATACAGGTAGACGTTTATTCCAATGAGGGACAATCATGGGTAACGGCGATAGACCCGTTCAGTAAAATTGCTATGGCCTATCCCATTGAGTCAAAAACCCCTGGGGCAGTTTGGGAAGGAATCTTGCAATGGTGCGCATTTTACGGTGTCCCAGACGAAATCGTCTCAGATTGCGGGAGAGAGTTCGATAACGCGCTAATTCGAGATGAGAGCAAGATATTGGGCATCAATTGGCGTTTGAACACCCCACATCATATTAAGGGAAGGGGCGCCGTGGAACGGCTCCACAATACTTTAGGGGAACACTTACGGTTGCTCAAGTTAGGTCGTGACCTCGATCCATTCGATGCTATGCCACGCGCTGTCATAGCCTACAATAATACCATTCATGCCGCGACGGGATTATCACCAGTCGAAATAGTGTTCGGACAGAGGCGCCGGGATAGAGGAGATCTCATCACGGCTAACAATAACGACCTTAAAGCTACCATGTATCAGGCAAGAGTAGGGCGGCAAACAATGTGGGCGAAAGGTACGCGAAAAATTAATTCGTGAGAAGCAAACCCGGGTGGCTAAGGCAAATAACCGACCCATAGTTTATAGAAAGGGCCCGTTAGCGCTGGGAACCATAGTGTATAGACGATTACGCACCGCTCGCACTAAAACAGCCGCGAGGTATGAGGGACCTTATAAAGTCATCACCATACGGGAGAATAACCTATTTACCATCAGGGATGTAAATTACCCGTTTCGGTCACGTACGGTACACCTTGAAGAGCTTCGGGTACCTCAGATTATGCCAGAAAACGAGTCGGACGGCGGCGCCCAGCCTGGACCATCTCGGGGCTAGGAAGTTTTTCTTTTCGTACTTTCCATTTTTTTTAATGTTTTTACGGTATTGAGTAATTTCTGTTAAATAGCGTTATACAAGTAGAGTGAAAAATGTTTTTTTCGTTGTTGTTAAAATCCATTGTAGATAGGTTAAGTTATTATATTTTAGGATATCTGTATTTGTTTTTTTTAGGTATAAGTATGTTAAGCAAGTGAATCTGCTACTTGGTGTATTATTTTTTCTTCTTCTGCTCTGCAGAAAGTGTTTGAGTTTGTGTTTTATGTTCTATTTTTTTTTATTTTTATTTTTAGTTATAAGTTCCTCCATACGAAGGAACTGGAGGGAGGGAGTTAGCTGAGTATAAACCATAAACAATAATAGGAACTGTGTTACTAATAAGATTAACAAAGCATTGTAAACGAAAACAAACCGTATCTATATATATTGGATAAGTAGAGAATAAAGTCAGTTGCTCACGAACCTGTGTACTGTTACTATGCCCTAAAACCCCTTTTTTTTCGATCATTCTTTCAGTCTAATCATAAGTTATATATATATATATATATATATATATTATACATAGCTCAGCACATGCCCAACTTTCTAAAAGCTCTTTTACCCGCCTCTTTTTCGTTTTTTGGAATGATTTCTCTAACGACGTTCCTGGGATTCAACGTGAGTTACTTGGTCCACGCTGGACTAAAGTACGTCTTGGTCATTCAGGAACTGAGGATAATTTCTGAAACTCATGCTGAAGCCAAGAACTGTTTCCCAAATACAATTGTTTGCGATCCCTTCGCGCTTATTTTAATTTAATATTAAAATTAAGACAAAATAGCCTACTAATCTTTGCAATTTCTTTTTTGCATTCGTCACTCGGGTCTTTCACATTCAGCAATGAACACAGTTCTTCCATGACCATGGATATATGATCAACTTTTTTGAGCTGAAAATGTATTTCTGCCATCTGGGCGTGAGTTATGCTGGCTCGGTCTATTGAAAAAAATAATAATACAAATAAAGGGACATCCCGAAGCACATAAACAATAATTAAAATTAAAGTGCATACTCAATGCTGCAAGAATATGCAAAAAGTACAAAATGATTTTTTTCAAAACGTGTTTAAACTTTTAATGTTACAAAAATTTAGTCAAATTAAACGCAGGTATGCAAAATAATCTAATTATTTAATTTTCGCAATTAAAATATGAAATTTTTAAAAACATACTTTTACCTATAAATTTCATACTTGGTGCTGTAATTTTATTTAAAAAAATAAGTGCTGCCAGTAAGAAACATAAATTGGTACTAATAAGGTGTTTATTGCAAAATAATGAATAGCCGCATTTCACCCATTTCATTGATTTAAATAATAATGTAAATTATGATATAATCCTAGAAGATTGCATACGAAGGTGTAATAATAGATTTCAAATGGTAATTAACATTTTTGGAAAAGAGTTAAATTTTTTATTTTTGTCCATTGGTCGATTCACTGTGCGGTGGTGCTGTGCATACGCGTTAGCCCGTTCGACAACCGCGCCCCCAATGAAAATTGGTTGTCGAGAATACGGGTGATTACCTGGTGAGTTGGAGGTGATATTGATGTTTGTTGATTGATGTCATTAGATTCATCTGAAAAGTTCTTAAGCGCTCCCATTCCTTTTCCTTCTGGTATGCTCAAAGTTTAATGACTTTATCCTACTTTGCGCGGGTTTAGTTTCGTATATCCTTAATCCCTTCACCCCTCGATTCTCAGTATAGTCATTAAACGCAAGATTTCAACCCAATCATTGGTATACATTTTCTCACGGAGTACATCCTTCATAGTCCGTGGTTTATCAAATTATTAACATCCGCCTAAAACGTTAAGAATGCTTTAATCTTATCGTAACCTACATTTTTTTTTATCTACGAAAATTTCCAGAAATGAAGTGTTTTCTCATTAAATTAATTAATTTATTGAGGTACTAAAACTCATAAATATCCATTTGCTTAAATGCTAAAATAATAATTATCTTGCTATTCAAGTGGAAAGTTAATGAGTTTTTAGTACCTAATTAAATAGACAAAAGTTGCCGATTTCCAGAATGAAAATGCCCCGTTTCCGAGAATTTTCGTTAGTAAAAAAGGTTGTAGGTTACGATGATAGGAAGTCACTAACGGATCTAGGATTTGATTTTGGGGAGTGTTTCATGGGTTATGCATATATTAGGATAATTAATTCGGAAGAAAGAAAGAAACTAACTACCTATATGAAATGGTGTTTAAGTGATTCTTTAGGTCCTATTAAATGTAATTAGACGAACAATAATACTTATAGAGATTTTTTTTTTCATACAACATGGTCATATTTTCCATTTTGAGGGGCTTCAGCCGCAGATTCGCCTGTGGATGAAGCTATTCACGAAGTTTTAGGCGGATGTTAATAATTTGTAAGAAAAGGGTCTGTACCACCAACTATCACAATTTGGGATACATATTGCTTTATCTCATCATATTTAATTTATCATATTTAAATTAAAAAACAATATATGTTAGAAATAACAATTATTTTCAATTTTTTTTTCGTACTATTTAAATCTTTCCTCACATTTTTTCATTGGTCCTTTTATTTAACCTATTCATTTTTCCTTTTAATACTCAAGAACTATAATTTTAGTCACTTCAATTATGTTTAAGTTTCCTTTACAAACAAAAAAATAATAATAATCCGAATGAGAATACTATAATTAAAATTGTGATCCTATTACTGAAATTTACAACTGTATTAAATGATAAATACAACAAGTAAATATAAAACCAATAACACGACATGTACAACATGAAGAGAAACTACCCGTTGGCAGCACTCCAATTATATTTCTATATTAAAAGGTCCCGAGACCATCTTCTTTTCAGACGCCTCGGAGGGTTATCAGGAATAGAAGAGAAAGCAAGGCTGGAAACAAGAGGGTTCGGATGGTTCAGAAGTTTATTGCGGAAGGATAGGTATCTAGATTGAACTAAATCGAAAACATATGGTACATTATGGATTATCGTTATGGATGATTTTATTTGTGACAAAGTATGGAGCATTGAGGATTTTACGAAGGAATTTGGATTGAAGGGATTGGATACGAGAGGAATTTGATGGTTTAGTAAAGCCCCAAAGCTCGAATAGGCCTTATTATACTAATATATACGATTCTTGTAAATAGTTGGAAGTTTAGAGCGTTTGTCTAGTGCTGCAGTAGTCGAAAACGTCGGGCGGTTTCTAGTCGTTTCAGTCTTGTATGGGGATTCTGCTATTATTTGAATGAAACTTATGTAAGTAATTTGGTTTGGAGAGTAATTTGGTATCATAAATCTTAATTAAAAATAAAGTAAAAAAAATATTAATATTATAATATAATGCGGATCCTATCATTGTTTTTTAGGTATGGTCGACTTACAACAATTTACGCAACTCAAGATATAATTAAATAAATTATTAAAAAATCTTATTTAAAAAAAAATAATGTTAGAAACATGAGCGATGTCAATTACCGAGTGGAATTAATTAAATGGATTCAATTCCCTTTCTCTTGATTTATTTATTTCTTTATTTGTTGAACCAATTAATTAATACTAACGAACTGAACTACGAATGTTTTAATTTGAAAACTCCATTAGAATTTATTCAGAGGAAAGTTTGCATAAAAGCAAATTGGAGAACTGACCGGTTGATTGAGTGCCAAACAGATGTATCGCCGTTTCTATTCGGCAATCAACACCATCGACTACTATCAAAGGAATACCTAATTGGTCCAAACAGCGAAATAAATTATAACGAACCATCAAACGTAAACTCATTACAGATTTGGAACTGACAGAAAAATTGTTTTTTTATTATTATTAAAATAATTAGTAGTATGAGCATTAGATAATTAGATTTTATAAAATCCTAGTAACAGAATTAATTTTCAGAAAACCTTTGGAAGACTTGGAATGCGACCACCTGAAGGAGCCAGAATTAGAAGCAGCTCTCAACTTACCTACTGAAGAAGAGGTGAATGCTTACATTAAAGGGATAATTTTGTTCTTATGTAAATATTTTATTCTACTTATTTACTTAGTAGTATGCTATTTTGTCACTTGGATAATAATTACAGTGAGGTAAGATTGCATTCACGCTATATACTCGAAAAAGATAAAATACACAGAAGCAAAATAACAATCAAATAGTATATACAATAAAAAGTAAAATAATTTAAAGATAGGTAAATTAAAAACATAAAAACAGCAGAAAACCCCAAACCAGCCTTATCCCTCCAACTATAGAAAGAAAAGTAGGACTTCAAGAGATACCAGCGCCACTAGCGGATCGGAATTAATTTTGGGGGGGGAGGGGGCTTCAGCCCAAAAGATTTGTTTTTCAAATACATATAACGATAATTAATTATAAAAAAAGAAAGAAATTAACTACCTATATGAAATGATGTTTAAGTGGTTCTTGAAGTCCTATTAAATGTAATTACACGAACAAGAATACTTTAAGAGATAGCTTTTAATATTTTTTTCTGTAAAACATGGTTATATTTTACCATTTTGGGAGAGGGCTTCAGCCCGAAAGCCCCTCCCCCGTAAATCCGCCCTGCGCTACTCTTTCAACCGCGTCACTGGTGCTAAAGGTAGTGGAGATTGAGCTTTAGCCACATACACTCAAGTCTTGGGCTAATAATCTTGTCATTGCCAGAACTCCAACATATATACTACTAAAGGTCTCTGGGCTACTGCCGTTTCAACCTTATTGGAGGATTGTAGAGATGGGTGATGCTAGATAGAAATTGTGCAAGGGGATTTGGATGATACGTAAGGTTCCGATGAAATTTTGGGAATTTTTCTGGGATAAGATCTAGGACAAATGGGATGTTGAGGTCATGGTTTAGGGTCTTGTTGTATCCATAGAACGGAGCATCTATAGTTCAAAGGACCTAGGACTTAAAGGATTGGATGCGTTTAATGATAAAAAAAAGTCTGTGTCTCAAAGTATGGGAATGAATATATAATGATGACAATGAATTTTCAAAAACGGTTAAAAGTAATTATCGGCGATTTTTGGAAATTATCGCAAAGTTGAATATCACAAAACGGACTGATTGAAAAATGATAAAACTGGTACAGATTATAACTCTTCATGATGAGAACTTTGGGAACAAATTTGGTGAATAAGACCAAACTGGGTCCGATTCATTGGTATAATGAGTTGTGCAGGTTCAAATTACAGAGTTTTTATTTTATGTTTTCTATACTTTTTATCTTAGAGTCAATGTAACTTAATTTTATAAATGTTCATAAAACAGGGTATTCAACTGACCATTAAATTGAGACCTTCTAAACCCTTGTCTATTGTTACGGAAATAACTCTATCCAGAGAACGTAAGTGATTATCGATTTCGAGTTATTCGTAGCCGAATGACGGGGAACAAATGGTGTCCATGTTCCCTGCCTGCCAGGTGATGGATGATAACCGATAACTTGGATGGAATTATTGATGGTTTCTGGATCAAAAAGAGCAACAGCATGTAATTATTGGGATGGCATTGTCATTCATCACGTCATTCCATTCTAATTCTAGTCATATGCCAACACACAGTTACTATCTTCTTCATAGATAATATCGACAAATATACTTTTTCCGAAAACTCTGAAAATAAACACCAATCCCTGATCTATTAAGTATAAAAAAGAAAATCGTTTTAAGTAGTAAGAACGCAGTCATTTAATGATTTTTATTGTTGCCGACGTTTCAATCCAAGCTTGTGGGTCATCAGTACATGTTACCAGCACTGAAGGTGTTCAAGTACTTATAACTTATGACAAGTACTAATAAAAATCTTTAAATGACTGTGTTCTGGCTATTTGTCACCGATGATATCTAGAACAGTCAACTAACTTCCTTCAAAAATTGTTTTAAACATCGATGTCACCAATACATCGGTATAAAAACATCGATGATTCCTCAGCTATTGTATAAGTCTATGTTTTTTTATTTACTAAAATTTACAACTGCATTAAATAAATACAACCAGTAAATATGTACAAATCTGAAATAATGACATAAACAGGTTGTTGAGATACAACGCAGTGGAAGCACTGCCTAAATAGTTCTGAGTAAGAAGATCACTAGGCCATCTTCTTTTCAGATGCTTAGGAGGATTATCAGGAATCGAAGAGGAAGCAATGTTGGAAACAAGTGGATTCGGATGGGACTGGAGTTTAACATGAAAGGATAGATATCTGGGTCGGGATAAATCAGCGACAAATAATAAAAGTCAGAGTGGCTTAATTTAATTTACATGTATTTTGGGAAACAGAAAGACTAGTGTTTGAAATTAAAAACTTCCGTTCTCTCGAATAACCTCTTACCATCGATTCATTATGTTTTTCACATGTATCATCGAACCTAAATGTAAAATATTCAATTGCTTAATGAATAAAAATAGTAAACATAATACCGAAGTATCAACATATTTTTATATACAAGTATTATAGATTTTTTATTTCTATGAACTTTTATGATGAATCAAACGTGGTTTAGGGGCAGTTCACACCTGACGGTTAGCAACTTTCCCCTCATTTACCCTATTGATAAGCTAGTGGTCAATTATGAAGTGAACATCTTGAAGCAGGCTTGCCGCGTTAGAAGACGGTGCGCCGTCAGAGGAGGCAGAGCGAGAATCCCTAAAAACCGAGGTCCAGGGAGCCGATTTGTGCCATTGCAACAATTACTAGGGAACAAAACAATGGCTAAGTTTCTAAACTCAGCGCTAAGTTCCCCGATAGCATCGGATCCGTCTCTAAACTGAACGAAACTATACCATCGATGAAATCAGCGCTGAGTATTGGAATTTGCCTAATAAAATTGAAGTCCATGCTGCACGAAATCGTATTGGGACAACATTGCTGAAAAAATTCTGTAGGCCTTGTCTCCGTTAAGGGGTGTTTTGCCACGAATTTACATTACACACGTATATTACATACATTACACTTAGCAAGAGACTGGTACCACTAGCGGATCCAGGATTTAGTTTTGGGGGGGCTTCAGCCCGAAAGCGGTTTTTTTCATAAAAATGGCGATAATTACTTTGGAAAAGATGAAAGAAACTAACTAGCTGTATGAAATGGTGTTTAAGTGATTCCTAAAGCCCCTTTAAATGTAATTACACAAACAATAATACTTTAAGAGATACTTTTTTGATATTTTTTTCGATAAAACATGGCTATATTTTACCATTTTGGGGGGGGGGCTTCAGCCCGAAAGCCCCCCCCCCCGTAGATCAGCCCGTGACTGGTACTAACAAATTAATCTAACAACTTGTTGCAGTTGGCATATATCAGGTTTACCCCTAGTGCCGGGGATCCACAGTCGGACTTTGCAGACGAAGTTTACATCCCCCATCCTGGTGATGAAGGTAAGTTTTTACATCATACAGTAGAAAAATATACTTAGTATACGTATATATTTAATAATTGAATGTTATTAACCTAACATTTTCAAATATCATGGAAACAATGTATAAGTTACCCCACATGAAAAAATTAAATAGTTTTAGATAGATAGATAGAAAGTAAACTTTATTCTGGGACAAGGTCCCTTATGAATAACAGATATGAACAAAAAAAAAAAAAAACTACATCTGGCCAAAAATTACATTAATCAATATTAAAGAATATATACAGTATCTTCAGTGAAATTAAATTAAAACAAGTAAAAATAAAATAAAATTTTGAGAAAAAACGAAATAATAAAAAAAAAAACATTATTTAAATGAAAAGAAAACAAAATAAAATAAGCATGAGTTGATTTTTAAAATTAAAACTCAATCAATGTTATCAACCATTCACCTCAGTCAAAATCTGTTTCAAAATATTTATTTTATTGTATAACATCATTTCGGGATGTGAGAAGGAATTGGTAGAGATGATATTTAAATGAGGACAAGGAAGAGGCATGGCGGATTTCAGATGGCAAGGAATTCCAGAAGGCTGAGGATCGGGCAATAAAGGAATATTCAAACGTCTTAGTTCTATGGGAAGGGATATAAAGGTCGGAAAGACGGGATCTTGTTTTCTGGGAGTGGACCACGGGTTTAAACTGTAGGAGACTGCAGATGTAGGAAGGATGTCAGGTGTTGATTGTTTGGAATAGGAACGATTCCAATAGTTTTATAGTTTTATTAGGACTAAAAAGAGTAACTTCACTACTTATACAAGAGATTTCTGGAGCCGTTCCTTACAAGCCATGTTAAATTCAAATTTTTCTTATACCGAAAAAAAAAACAAATAAAAAACATAACCTCTCCTTATAAAAACTCCAGCATTTCTTTAGTCCTCAATTGCACTTCACAACTTCGATTTCTCCGAAAAGTAAAAAAACAACTTTGATTTTATAAAAATATGAAAAAGTTTAATTTAAAGTTTATTAATTATTTAGTAAAAGTAAAAGCTGTATGTTTTTTTTTTTTTTAAATATCTAACGATTTTAGAAAATCTCATTCAGATACATACTTTAGATTTCTAATATATGTTGCAATTATATGAATATATATGTATGTGTATATATATTCTACTTATATTTGTATTCGCTAAAATTAAATTATGAAGGATCAGAAAATATATATACACACATATATGTTGAAAGTCGAGAGGTATCAAGTATCTCAATTAAAAAAATATTTAAATAGACTAGAAAGACCTCAAGAAAGAGAGAGAAATAGACAAAAAAAGGAAAACCTAACTGCGGAAAATACCGTCTAAAAATATATTATAGTCGAACTTGGATACTTCTAACTTTTCAATTCCAAATCGTGGCTGATTCCAAGTTTTCTGTCTGACCATTGTTTTTTTGAATCAGCACATTGTAAATTTTAAAAAATGTATGTAATTAATAGTAGATAAAATATTCGATCTTCCGTCCCACAATTTTATTTTATTAATTTTAATTTACGTATAGTTGTACGTTTCGGCATATAGTCATCATCACTATACCTGCTTATTCAAAACCAAAATTCTCATATTTAAAAGGAATAATAATATTCTTTGTTAAGTCCATTCATCTAGTCAAAAGACAATGGACTCTATTTAAAAAAAGCTTTAATAAAAATTAACCAATACTAACATTAAAGAATCCATCAATTAACAATAATGAATATGGAATATATCATTTTTTATTATTTCTTTTACGAATTTCACATTCACAAGTACCATTGTAAACAAAAACTAGCTGAAAATACTTTTTTAGAGATTATTGCAAACGACTAATCACCTTTTCATTTGACATAAAACTATTTAAATGATAGAAAAATATTTGTTTATGTAAAGCAGATCTCAAAATCATTCATAGTCATGAGGCATCAATAAATTTATAAAAGTACTTATGTGCTACTGATTCCTTCAAAGAGATGGGCATACATAGGGGAGTGCAGGGGGGGGGGCGTTGCCCCCCTAAATAATTTAAAATAAAATACAAAAGATATGGTGAAAATTCAGGAAAATTAATTTTTTTAAATTGTTGTTTTTCGTATATATTGTATTTCATATAAAAATATTTATAAATTGTAATAATAATAAACTTTTCCTAAAAAAAATTTACATCTTACCCCCCTAATATGAAAGCTCATTCGAAGAAAAAAGTAATTTTCCCTCAAGATGGTACAGAACTCCAAATGATTAAAAAAAATAAAACAAAATGTTGTTGCTTGCCAGAAAATTAAAGTATCTTCCAGCAATGTAACAAAATACAGACATAATAAAGTTAATAAGCCATAGGCCGGAAATGACCAGGTAACCCTGAGAGACTAAGAAGATTACCTCCTGACTTCCCCTTACATTCCTTAAATTCTTCAAGAACCTCGCTTTATTGCTCTGACATTCCTTTGGGAACTTCATTAAATGGCAATTAGTATTTCATTGCTTTATACCTTATTGATTCTTGGCTACGTTTCATTAATTAAAGAAAAGTTAATAAAAGTTGGATAATTTAAAATCTGTAAATATCTAACCCTAAATAAATACACAGATTTATGAAAAACAATCTTATTTTGTTTGTTAATCATAGGCGGGATCTTAATTTAATTTTTACATCTGATATATTATTGATAAAATTTTAAAGTTAGATTTATTTCAAATATAATTCATTTAGATATTTTTAATATAGCAATTGTTAATAATATTATACAACATATTAATATTGTATTAATTATATACCATAAAGAAATCTAAAACTGATTTTGAATATTTGTTGGATCTAGAGAATTTTGATAATGATAAGAAAAAAGTGAACACCATAAAAAGCAAGAGATTTATAGGTTTTAAGCAATTGGTAAAGTATTGAATAATTAGAAAAAAATCCTCTATAAACCAACACTTACATCCTACTTTTGATCCTTATATCTTATTTATTTATTCGTAAATAAGCTATTGTTATAACATTGTTTAGATAAAAAGCTGTTAGCAATGTAAAGCTTCTATTGTTTGATATATTTTTATTTTATTATTAGCTTGTTTTTTATATTATGCTACAGGGTTGAAATCATGCCTACGAACTATTTCTTCATTTTTCCTACCATCATTCCTTTGTAAAAACTACCAATATATATAAATATAAGTACAAATGAAAAGTAGTAACATTATTTTCTTTGATATCAAAGAATTTTATTTTTTTGCAAGTGATTGATTTCATATTTTTTCTTTATTACTATGTTTAATTATTAAAATAAATGCTTAATCCAAATCATTACAGTCCGCTATTTTATTATATATATATATATTTTTTTTTAACAAAACATTTTAGTTAAGCCTCATTCAAAGTTTAATTTAAGCCTTGAGGGAGCTTAACAAGTGCAGTCACCTTTTTTTTGTGGGAACATTAATTTTTTTTTTAAAAATAGTTACAAGGAACACAACTATATGCATATTATTGAAATGTAGGGAAAGAATGCACTGTAGGGGGGTCTGGCCCATCGTGTAACATACTTTTCAAAATCAACCATTCCAGTCAATGGCTCATTATCTTCAAGGAAAACCTCCAAATGAAAATTCTGGACGAGGTTTAAAATGGAGTTACAGAATCATTCTGTTCTAAACTGAAAGAACACTATTGTGCATAAATCGAAATGGGTGAATATTGAAAGCTCGATAGTTTGCTTCCTGTTGGGTTTAGAAAAAAATGGTATGAACAAAAATGTTAGATGATTTAAAGTTGTGTAAGATTGAACTTAACATTTTTTTTGTCTACGACACTTTAAAAAGGAGATATTTAGCATAAATCAAAACAAGATGGAAATTTCAATGGTTTTTGGAGCACTGCAGCGAACTCACAAGGCTAACAAGAGCGGAAACTTGTATTTTTAATATTCTCAACATAACTAACAATATAAAAAAGAAATTTTAATTACCCGACCTTTTGCAAGGTAACATGTCTAATTTGACTGGGCTAAATGTTATATAACAAATAAGTTGAAAATCATAATTTTTTGACACGAAAATTTGATTCAATTCAAATTGTACCGTCCAAAATACTTCGAAAAATCTTAAATGCACCCTGGCATATTTCAAATTACACCATACACAATGACATGAACATATCAAAAGTAAAATATTACATACATGATAAATACGCCACATTCCACACTTCAACTATTAACCACCCTAATCGACTTATCCTCTCTCTTTCTTTCTCCCTGTTACCTGGGGAGCCTCAAAGAAGACTAAAAAATCAGTGGTCTCAGGATCTGCTCACAATACAAATAATTTTCAAGAAATAATAAGACAGAACAAAAGACAGCACATTTGTTAGATGTATATCAATGTAGATGTAAAAATAATGTAAAATAAAATAAAAATTGATTTGTATTATTAAGATGAATGCATAAAATAATTTTATTGACAATATAGTTAAAATGAAAAATTTTAAAACTAAGTATTTCAATAAAGTTAATATCAAATTTATCTTGATTTTCATTTATGTAACATTTTCAATAACATAAGCAGAAATATGTTTCCTGATCAATTAACAACCAGTTTTAGTAATAAATAAAAATATAATAAAAAATTATATAATAATAAGTACGGGTTTCTCTAAGGATTGGGGCCATTTGGTGCTATTAATAAGGGTAAAATGTAAACTATATATAATATAATTCACAAACAATACAAAATAGATTTCATTTGGTTCTGATTTTGGTTTTGGGTAATCCATCTATAGACAGATTTGGAAGAACATGAGGGGTTGCAAGGTGAAATTTTGCCGTGTGCGCCAATGGTTGGCTACGCAAAGATAGTAGGAAAACAAAATCTGTTAATCTAAATGTAATTTTTTTCAGTACTATCTATTATCAGATGTAATAATTTTAATGAATAATTCTAAAAGGCCAACTCCAAAATTAAAACTGCTTTGATAATCAATACAGTTGTCCCTAACTCCTTCTAATAGAGCATTATCATTTTTAATTTATATTCTATACAGAAAAAAAATCTCATAGATAAAGAACATTTTAACTTATATCTAATATCTTTTTCATGAATAGACAAATAACGGAACTGCAGTTTAGCGATTCCGTAGGTAATGTAAGACAAACCATTAGGAAATAATCTCATTTTTATATCTTTTAACAACAAATGAATAAGTGAAAGATAATACAGATTAAATTATATAAAAATATTAATAAAAGACTAATTATATGAAATTTAAGAAAATCTTGTTATAAAAAAACAATTTAACAGTGCTCATCGAAATATTACTATTTCAAGCATTAAGTTTTGTCTTTATTATAATTTTAACAATATATTTTTCTTTTAAAAATTAAATAAATAATACTGCTCACTTTTTTTTTGTTTTGGTTTTTAATAATTTTGTAACCTATTTTCTATGCAGATTTGGAAGCTCCTGAAATGGGCTCTCCACCAAGACCATCTCCTTTTCGGCAATTATACAACAGCCCCAGCAACTTCAGGTCTGGTGTTGAAGTAAGGGACCTCATAGCAGCAGGTAAATAATTTACAGCTACTTAACCATTCAATCAGAGGGGGAGTAAAAATATAAAATAAAATAATTTGCAAAGAAATAAAAAATACACAAAAATAAATGCACTGAATATAAACAAAGCTTCGATAATAAGTAAACAACAATAAAGATGTTATGCATTTATCGGGGAAGACCAATGAGTTCTAACAAATACACACGGTTCATGGATGCTTAAAAAAGCAATATTGAATAAATTAATACTATTAGATATGGAAATGAAATTTTAAATTTTAGTTTTAATCAGTTACGGTATGAGTGGAATCTTCATTTTATTTTATTATTCTCTTATTATGGACATAAAACTTTTTCCTTGCAACTTTTCAAATAAAGGTTTTATAGAACTTTATTTTTAAAAAAGACATTCGATCAAAAGTTGAGTTGAAGCAATTCATTTTGTTAAAAAGTAAATCTAAACATGGACAGTCTCAGCTACACAAGCAAACGACACATAAGATGAACTATATGAAATGAAATGAAAATACTTTTATTATCCTGGGACTGTTGTCCCTTTATAACAAATTAAATATACAGAGTGATTAAGGCATGCCAGTATTTACATACATTAAATTACATATTTCCAAAATAATTAGTAATTAAATATAAAGATACAAAAGGATAGAGAGAGGAAGAGAGAAAAGAAAATCAGACATACATATAAAACAAACATCTGAAAAATAAAATAAGAAAAGAAAATAGTATCTAGGGGAATTAAGAGTGTTCTCTTGCATTCATTTCATGATCACTTGGATTAGGAAAGGAATAGGTGCTTAAAAAGGAGAGATTTAAAAGAGGAAACTGATTGCACGTGATGAATATCAGGTGTGACAGAATTCTAGAGGAAGCCGGCTTTGATAACAAAGGATTTGTCAGATATGGCAGTTCAGAGGAGAGAAAGATAGAGGTCGGACGTAAGAGGCCTAGTGGGACTGGATTGAATGGAGGATTTAAACTGTAGGATCTGAGAAATATATGAGGCTCGCATTGGTATAGAAAGGTGGCAAGGAAGTGCGTAGCATTGGGTAATATGGGTATCGCTTGAGATCCCAAAATGAAATCATGTTGAACAATTCATTAGGCGTTTAAGTTTAGCTTTGAAGTTCTTCGAGAATCCACTATACACCATACAGCCATAGTCAAAGTGGGAGAAAACAATATCTATAGTTTAAGCCCAATTCATTTAATTCTCATTTAACATAAATTTTATTTAAGAATTTAAAGAAATAAAAGTTAAACTTTTACCTTAAACCAAGAACTTTGTTACAAAAAGATTTCATACGAATTCTATTTTTAAAATGTTTTTTCTTCAAAAGTTTCACAGAAACTATTAAAATGGAACATTTAAAAAAGGAATATAAAAGTTTCAACCCCTTAATATTATCATACAACTATACTTACTTTGATATAGAATAAAATAATTAAATTAGTTATGAAGAAAAATACAAAAAGATACATGCAAATTACATCTAATAAAATTATATGATGATGAATGAAGTTATCAGTACAATTTTATAAAGTTAAAAAAATTAATTAATACACATACCAATCTCATACGATCAGTAAATAAAACAATAACCGCTCGATTTTTAATTTTCTGAGTATTAAAAATTAAAAAATTTTATTTTTTATTTTTAAAAATGATTAACTTGTATACCAATTTTTTTGCTGTATCGTTACTATCATCTTACCACTACTAACTATTTTTGAATAGGTGGTTTATTTTTTCATGTCAAGTTGAATAAGTTTCAATCTAATTATAGTAATTACTTTTTACCACACCATAATATAAACCAAAAATTAGTCTGTCACTGATCATAAAACTTTATTTTGCAGAGTTGAGTGTTTAACCACAACATAACATTTTATGAGTAGCTCTATTGGCAATAAAGAGGCACATTTACCAAAACATAATTAGAGACGATAACAACTAATAGTCTTGTTCACCAGAACTTTTATAATAGTTATTAACTGACTTTATACACATAGCAATAGTCAAACACTTTAAGAGGTATTCAACCTCAATGGTAAAGAAAAACAATTAATTTAAAAAGTACCTTATATCCTGATTATAAAAACATTACAGCATCTTAGGCTTAAAGAATTGCTTCGAATGTTGAAAACATATGAAGTTATTCATTTTCTAATCTGAAAAAAAAAAAAATTAAAACTGTTAAAATGATGAATTTATTCCCAGTTTTAATAAATACATTTAAAATTAGGCAGTAATTATTTAATTAAACATTAACTCTTCTGCTTAATAATTATGAAAATATTTAATAAAATTCAATGTGAATAGAAATAAGCCCAAATTATTATCAATAGCATATTATGTTAATTATCTGATATTAAACTTTCAGATTAAAACAATGGTTCGAAGTTGAAATACTGATACTTAACAAAATACAAGAACATACTACTCACTAAAGAACAGTATTCTTTAAAATCCAATTGGTGATTAAGAAAGAAAATTTGACTATACTTTTTCTCCCCAGTTACATTGCTTTAGGTTCAATACATTTCTTTAGTATAGAGAAAAAGTAAAATAGTATACCTAAATTATGGTTATTATGCATCAAAATTCAAATTGTTATACTTTTCATACAAAAGATTATAATTTGAAAAACTAACAAAAAAATTTAGATGGTAATATGAGCCATAATGCAGCCGAAGTGGATTTGCAGGTTAGGCAACAACTATTTGATTTGTAGACAAAAATATGAAATGACGAAAAATAAATATGTTGTATCTTTACTATAGATTTATTCTTTACTTTTATTTTGTTTTATTAATTAATATTTTTATTTTACTTGATTTCCATCATAAAGATACATATTTGTTGTCTTATGGACAGGTTATTCTTATGTATAATAACTAGGTCATAAAGGACTTACAAAGCTGTTTTATGGCGCAAGTTGCGCCATCAAACTTTTTGAGGGGGCCATATTTAGACGGTTTTTTTTTATTTTTGAGGGGGAGCAAATTTCAAAGGGGTTATGAATTATCGGAATGAAAAGTTTCAGAAGAAGGGACAAGGAGAAAATATGGAACATAATACAAGTGTAATTGTGTATGATCTAAGATTTTTCTAATCCTACTTTCTCTTGCTCTGTTTTTATAAAAAGGTGAGCAATAGAATATCTGGGAGGAGGTAGGAATAGGTTCTTACGCCATAGACCGTTGGGGCAAGAGGCATCCCTGCTACTCTTGTCCTTTTGAACAAAATTAGTTCGGGAAATTGAGCGTTTGTGTCCTTTTTGGCAACCCAAGATGACAGAGAGATTTCCTCCTACTAATAGCTATAGTGGGAGTATCAAAAATCATTTTTCATGATCTTCACAAAATAAATTTTAACTTATCCATCCAAGTGGATGTAAAATCCACACCCAGTGCTGGCTATAGACATTTGGCGTCCCCGGTCAATGACATAATTTCCCTTCCCTGAAAAAAGTACAATTTAATTATCAAGTTGTGTTATATTATGCAATATTTGAATTTTATTTCATTCAATATTTCTCTAATACAGTTGTTTTATTAATTGGCTAAAATTAATTATTTTAATACGTTTTGTATATATATTTTTTTTAATTCTTAAGCCTCTGATGATCGGCGCCCTCAGTTGGTGCAATTGCGCAGGTTGCCCAGCTGGACACTATCCACACCTATCCGAACTGGGGAATGTTCCTCTGCCAGATGTGATCCTGCCGAAATAGAGGCATCGCTACCTAGTTCGGTTAACGACCTACTCCAACCAGTATAGGAAGGCCAACATTTACACTATAGATACTTGTGAAACTGGTGGTAAAAAAAAACCGACGTACCTTGAATTTTACCGCAGATTAAAGAAATATTTTTGTGCTTGAAGTAATAACAGATATATTACAAGTTAAAACAATACTCTATCTGTTCCGAACATTTTAAGAATGTAGCAGTCGCTCAGATTACTACGTCAATAGAGAACTGCCGAAGTCAGCGAGACGCGGCCTAAGTCCACCAGCTGCCTGAAACAAGGCTGCCGGAGACAGGTCATGATCAGACCATCCAAGAGCGACAGGTCCAGCTGATAACCGCTTCCTTGCTACGCAGACTCTCATAAACCGTCATCAGACTTCAGTTTAGACTTCTCATTGATTCCGTATTGCTCGGGGTGCTGATGTCAGTGTGCACACAGTAAAGAAAAGGCTTGCTGACCGCTAGCTGCTTTTCATTCACCGCAGCACACTGAGAAGCTGGCCTTCACTTTTTTCGTGAACACGCTGCCTAGACAAAATATGATTTGGCCTCTGTTCTGTTTTCTGAAGAGTCCAGATGTAACCTTGTGGTGCAGACGGACGAGTTCTAGCGTAGAGAACACTAAATAAGCAATTAGCTCAGTGCAATATAGCAGGAAGAGTGCAGTTCGGAGGAGGGTCAGTGATTGTTTGGGATGGAATATGTTTAAAGTCAAATGCAGAACTCCATGTATTCCGAAGGCCGACGCTCAATTGACAGATCACCGACATCCTCGAAGAATATATGGCACATTTTGGCCCGTTTATCGCCCTCCATTTCTTTTTTACTTATGATACTTCGGATTTTATTTTTTTTTTTTTTTTTACTTTTTTTACTACTCAGACCAGGTCTGTGTCCGCACCTTTGAGTGGCCAGCACGCAGCCCAGATTTCGATCCTATTAAACATCTTTGGGACCAGACAAAAAACATTACAGTATTATTTCTGTTGGGAAAGAAATAACAACAAAATTTAAAGTACGGCGGGTTTTATGCCCTCCAGTGTAGTTATGTCCATTTTTGTCGGGCTTGTAATAACAATTAGTATAACACATCATTACGTCAACAATCAAAACACATTATTATCTCACCATTGTTCAATCCTTCCCGAATAAGTATTTTTATCTAAAAGAATACTTTTCACTTTTCTGGAATATATAGGATTAAATAAAAGGTTAGAATATGATTCCTTCACTTAGCTTTTACCAGTAGTTACCATAACAATAAAAATAATAACGGAGGAGGACGGGTGTAATAAGTAATAGAGTAGGGTTTGTATTAAACAAGAATTCGAATAAAATTCTTATCTTATGCTCCCATTCCTTTTGTATAAAATATTAAATATATCTTAAGCGAACCAAAAAATTAATTAAGTCCCAATCTACCGCATTCTCATAAAATCTCTTTTTATCGAAATTGCCATTGTCAACAGAAAATTAAAAAAGAAAATATGAAGTTCTTGATTTTTATGGGAAAAACAACAATATAAATGGTTAATTCACTATGCTATTATTGCTGTTTCTTGTTTTTGATATTTTCCATCTGCAGTCAGTATCAAGAGAAATAAAATAAATAGTTCGGTTAAGCGTTAATGTCGCCGTTAGTTAAATTAGATAATTGTGTTTCCCATTGTATGTGAAATGTCTAAACGCACCTTTACTAGTATTGTTAAAAGCAATTTTAATTAAGTATTACGATTTAGAAGTCTACATCTAAATCCCCTCCCCCCCCTCTTGATTCTGCCTCAAAACCCATCTATTTCGATTTTGATTTAATGTATGTAACATATCTCAACTTAGTACTACTAAGCCTTTGTAGAACTAATATTAAATTTAATTTTATATTTTGTCTTTCGTTATATTTTATAAATTAACCGAATGGAAGGAAATTTATATTTTATTATGGGATACCGTTGAAAATGCTATCAACAATAATGATTCCAATCATCTTCAAATCATATTGTGAGATTTTTTGGGATATAAAAAATAAATCCCTTTCCTAGTTACTCTTTAATGCTATCGATGGATCAACATTTTTATTAATATTGTCTTTATTTGCAATTATTATGATGGTTTAACAAAATGCATGAAAGCTTTTATTTCTGTCACGCAATTACTATTGTATTTATATATATATTAATTAAATCATCTGAAGTTCCAGGAGAACGAGAGAGAGGGAAAAGAAATAAAATCGCTGGAACTTATGCAGCTTTAAAATCGAAACTTGACAATTGGCCTGATGACGCAGGTATGGTACAACTTCCTATGTCCAAGAATAGGTTTTCATTATTTATTATTTAGTTTTAATAAACTGATGTGAGTTAATCAACTGAAGGATGGCCTGAAATTAAAACTGAAATTCTCAGCCAATAACAATCTTTTTTAAAAAGTGAAATGAAATGAAATAACATTAAAAACTGTTTTAAACATTATTACATTAAAAATAACATTAAACATTATTTAATGGTACTATGCTTACAAAAAACTATGCAAAAAAAAAAAATAAAAAAAATATTGATAGCCCTTTATAGCATAAGGTTAAAATCGGCAATAAAGTATAAGATATATAAACATCAACAGGCAATAGGTTTACAAACTTCAGCCTATTGAAGTGCAGAATAAGAAGAGCGATCTAATATCAGGCTAAATAATATTGAGTTTAAATTTATTTTTCATATTCATATATTTATTGAAATTTATAACTGTATTAAATGAAAAATAAAACAAGTAAATATGAAATTAGTTACATGTGCAACATGTAGAGAAACAACCCATTTGTAACACTCCATTTGTATTTCTATATTAGAATTTCTCAAGGCTATCTTCTTTTCAGATGCCTCGGGGGGTTATCAGGAACAGAAGAGGGAACAAGGTTAGAAACAAGAGGGTTCAGATGGTTCAGAAGTTTATTATGGAAGAATAGGTATCTGGATTGAGCTAAATCGGAAACATATGGTACAATAAGGATGATTTTATTTGTGACAAAGTAGGGAGCATTGAGGATTTTACGAAGGATTTTGGATTGTAAGGATTGGATACAAGAGGAATTTGATGGTTTAGTAGAGCCATTAAGACTTATTATAGTAATATATATGACTCTTTTGTAAATAGTTGGAAATTTAGAACGTTTGTCTCGTAAGTGCTGCAGTAGTCGAACACATTGTGCAGTTTCTATTCACTTCAGTCTGATTTGAGGATTCCAAGTGAGTCGTTTGTCCAGGTGGAGTCTTAGGTATCGGATTTTTTCAACAGGGATAAGTGGGGTATTGTTAAAGGATACCATAGGACAAGAAGTCAGTTTTACAACAAATAGTAAACGTAATTTAATGGGATTTATTTTAATCCTCCAGTTATAACACCATTCTTCAACACTTGTGATGTTTGATTGAAGAATTTGAGATGCAATTTATGGATCGTTATTAACTTATAGGATACACGTGTCATTGGCATATTAAATTTAATACTTTATTTATTTAGATAATTGGCAGAACTATTTATTGCAACAGTTAGAGTAATTTTGTTTATTATTGTTTTTATTTATAGGTGAGGAGAAGGATGGAGATGACTTAAACTTTGATCCCATAGAATTCACAAAATATATCCAAAGTGCACTGCGCCCCAGCTACTTTTTCAGAACCTTACCAACAACAAATCTGGGTAAGACAACTAAAGCTTTAGGGAGAATTAATGGTATTTATGGTAGGAAACCATGTATAAACCAGGTACCCAGGTCTATGAACCATGGGGTAGGATGAGGAGAGGAGGAGATACATCCAGAAGTATGTCCTTTACTTCCAAGATTGAATTGGGGGAACCCACTGTAGTTTTCCACCTGTATAGAAACTCTCATAAGTGACTAGGTAAGGGAAAGTGCCCTCAGTGAGGATGTTGAAAACGATTTCCCTCAATAATCTGCCCATGTGTTTTTCCAAGGGACATCAATTCATAATGAATTGATCTGCTCCAGTTTACTCATGAGGCCGCAGCTGTGATATAGTTGATCAGTGTCCTTTCAAAGGTATGAAAGTTGGTTTCAGCATGTCTTGTGATGAATTGTGAGACTCAGGAAGATTTATTTTACTTTCAAATGTCATCAGACAGCTGCTAAATAATTTTTCAAGGTAGCTCCTTTGGTTACCGACCTGCTTATTTGTGAAGCATTTAAAACCAATCACCAGGTTTTTCTCTAGAAATTGAAATTTGAAGTCCCCATTTTATAGAGGCCAGGTAAGTTCTAAGGGTCTCCAAATCCCTAAGTAGATCCATGGTTGATAGAAAATAAAATATAAAATGAGCCCAAAAGCTTAGTAAAATTTTTAACTCACTGGGCCACCGGTTTTATTGTTAAATCTGGCCTATTAGAATAATATTTGGATTGAATATTCTTACATTCAAAACATTTTTGTATTATAATAGAACTTTGTAAATCATAGCTTTTTATCTGTTTTTTAACTGGTTTATTGAACATAGTTACTATCATTTATAATATACCTTGATTGTTATCATAATGTAATCATTATACATTTTGATTTTTTTTAAATGATAGTTGCAGGAATTAAAAATAGAAATATAGCTGATAACAATGACGAAATAGAATATGAAGTGGAAAAGGAGAGGGTGATGGTTGCCGATGATGATAGCAGAGGCTACACAGAAGGCGGCAATGTATTCCAATCAGGTAGGCTTAATGTTTTCATCATTTAGTTATCACAGTTTATTGTTCAAACTTGATTGAACTTCTAAAGAAATAAAATAACCTATGGTAAAAAAAATATATATATTTCACTCATGCTGTTTTTTATATATAGTGGTAATAATTGTATAAATTATTAAATTGTAATCAAATGAAGGTTTACAAGAATTTTGAGCTGTCCCTTAGTTCTCTCACAAATCACATGCGTCTGTTTCGCTAAAAAGGTCCCCATTGATCTCAGGAGGAATGTTGTCTTAAAAATTCTAAAATGTGTCTGAAGCTCAGAGGCTGTGTTAATTAATCATGAGTTCTGCAAACCATCTATATGTTTTATATAGATATGTGTTATAATCATGACATGTTTTATTGTGTAAAATAGGGTGCTTGTGGAGGAAATGCTATTATGAATGAAATTGTAAGAAATTTAATAATAATAATGATAATAATAAATCTTTGAAATTTTATTCCCTATAACAAAACAAGTAAGACCACAGGGAAAGCCAAAAAACAGATGGATAGATGGAATCAGAAATGATACAATACAGATGGATGCTAATCACCAGAAAGAAGTAATCCTGGATATGCAGAGATGGAGAAAACTTCTAGGTCTGCTATACCACCAAAAAAAAAAAATAAAGAAAACAAGTCTTTGTTTACAAGTCTAAGTTCCAATTAGACACTTGTTTAGAAGAGTGATTATCCATTTAAAAATTAATGATAAAAGCTCCAAAGCTCACACATTAAAAACGGTTAATTTATTTTTTTTATTTTTTTTATTTAGCAATAATTCCATCTGGCGAGAGTTCTCAATGAGGCGGCCAAGGACCACACCGGTCGGCAGCACCATGGAGTTAGTTAGTTATTTAGCAATAATTAAAAATTTCTTAAGTACTCATCAGACAAATCAACAGCTTACTAACTCTTTTGGAATATTACCTAAAAAGTTGAGTGCATGAAAATGTGAACTGCTCTTCAAGAATCCATCTTCCATCAGACCTTTTAAATTACTTTTGAAATGGCTATCAGATTAAAATATTAAATAGATAAAAAACAGTTTTTTAAAATATTTTATTATATATGAGAAAATTATATCACCAAGATTGCATTTGTAATTCTAAAAATGTCTGATAAGAAATTAATAAATTATTAATATTGTCAGTACTTCTAAAATATACTTTATACTTGTCGATAATTAAAATGTTTTTCATGAATCAAAGTGGTAGAGTCCAGTCAGTGATAGATCTTGGTTTCGTTTCGGAGAAACTTTATAATTATATTTCTGTGATTTGATAATTTTCTCCAGGTGAAGATTCACTACCAGATTTGTTGGAAAAATTGAATGGTGCATTTGGCTTTAAGCGTCGGGAAAGGCTTGATGTTAAGAAACCAGGACCTCCATATGACCCAGCTTTCCAGGTATAGTTTTTATAACATGATTGTTGCCATATGCAGTGCCGGCATTAGGGCTGGGCAATCATCCTGAGGGCCAACCAGCAGGAGCACCCGTCAGGGGTGCTGGCCGATCTATAGGGGCACTTATCATTAGTAAGAAATAATAAAAATAAAATTAAATAAATAAGAAACCTATTAAAATAATTAATTTTAGACTATCAATAAAGCACCTGCATTAGAAAAATGTTAAATGAAATAAAATTCAAATATAACATAATATAAAATAGCTTAAGAATAAATTTAATTTTTTTTAGTGGGGGTAAATGATGTCATTGTCAGGGGGTGCCGAATGTCTAAGGCCGGTACTGGCTGCTTCTTGTATTGAATAATCTATTTTAATTGACTTGAAAGCTTAAATTAATCTTATTCTAGGATGATTCAACAAAAGAAAGTGACGTTAATAAACAACAGAACAAATGTAAGTAATGTAGCAATAATGATACTTTCTTATCAATTGACTTAATTTAATATTTACTTTAAAACTCTGAATACCTCATTGAGGAATAACTTGTATAAATAATTTATTATAATTTCAGAAATTTATAATCAATCATGTATATGGCCTCACATGATCACCTCGTAAATGACTTTTTTTCGTAATTTTGTTTTTCACAATTTGATTGAAAACATTGTTATCTTCTACCTCTATAATTTAAAAATTGTTAAAAGTTGATACTAAACTTATGTAGAGGATTACCACAATATTTAGGCCTACAGTATTGCGTTTATGAATGGCAAAAGAATTTGAGTTTAAGTCAAATTATAAAGAGTTACGTGTATTGTTGAAGAGGATTTATTTTATTAATCAATCTGATTCATCAGTAACTATTAATTAATGTTAACATATATTTTAATACTTATTGCTTTATATTTTTATTTATTTTTTTTTTTAGTTTGTCTATATTAACTTCATTCATTTAATTAATATATCTCATTTAATTTTTTTTTTTAAATATCTAATGAATTTTTCATTTTGTTAAATAAGTATAAATACTTATGTGCTATTATGTATACAATATAAAGTATATATATAATACAAATAATTTAGAGCAGTTATACCTTAATTTAACTTATTGTGACCTGGTATTTTGTTTTGATATATTAAGATTGTAGTTGAATTTGACACAATTTACCATTTTTATTTTAACCTTACCAACAATCGATCTAATCAATTCTTTTGCATATGGCTGTATTTCGTAATACAATGTATGAAAAGGGACAATAACAAACATTAGTATTCCATATAGCTTAATTTGACTCACAGTTAGCAAAAAATATTTTTGTGACTTGTCCGACCAAAATTTGTTCTTTTTATGTACAAATTAGTATTTGAGTATTTAGAAGTTTATTTTTATAAATTTTTGTCTTATAGCTAATGGCCAGAAGGAGCACATAAATGAACTCTTCCTTCAGGCATTAAAGGTATTTCAGGCTGTTTTTGTTGTTAATATTAATCATCTCTAGAACATATTTTTCTAAGTCCAAAAAATATAAAAATCTCTAAAAAAAATTCTGACTGTTTTAATTTTTCAGAGTAAGGATTGGGCCACTAAAGCAACAGAAAAAAAGAACATTGCTGATGTACTAAGTCATCCTACTGATTATGATGTGATTGATACTGATTATGCTTATATTGAGTTTAAAGAAAGGTTAACAATTTAGAATAACTTTATATTACTCTAACTTTTTTTTTTTTATTGTTTAGCTTAATTTACATTTGAACTTAGTATTATAGCGCCTATTCTTGATTTTTTAAATTATTTAGATAGATAGATAGAAAAAAAAACTTTATTCTGGGACTAAGTCCCTTCAGAATAACAATAATGTACAAAATAATAGAATATTACTGGCCTGAACGTTGAAACAATAAATGAAATTGATAAAATAAAATAAAAAGTAAAGAAAACCTTAGGTGCACAAGCTATATACAATACAGATACTACTATGTACAGAGCATTTAAAATTATGAATAAAACAATTAAAACTATGAACGAATCATTTGAACTATGAACAAAATTATATTTCAGGGTTGAACAACATATATATATACAATATATATATGAAAATAAACAGTTACTTATAATTGAATAAAAAAAAAAAATACAAAAAAATGTGTGTGTTGAAATTCCTACGTCGATAGTAGGAAATGCATGTACTATCTCTTACCAAGTGTAATGATTATATGATTGCTACACAATACATATATAATATTAATCGTTAGCTGGTATCTGACTGTTTTTGGAACAGGAATTGGAATAGGAGGTTTTTGAATGTGTACAGGGAAGGGGAATGTCGAATTTTGATCGGGAGGGAATTCCACAAGTTGACAGAGCGGGCTATAAAGGAATTTTGGAATGAGGCAGATCTATGAGAAGGGATGTATAGGTCAGAGGGTCGGGATCTTGTAGTGAGTGAATGGATTGAGGACTTAAATTGGAGAAGGTTGTAGGCATAAGAAGGACAATGATCGGTAATGATTTGATAAAGGAAAGTGCCAAGGAAATATTGTCTTCTTAAGGAGGGGAAGAGCCACCCTAACTCAGTGTAGTGGTGGGAGACACGGGAGCGTCTCGGGGTTCCGATTACAAATCTTACGAAGCAATTCATAAGTCTTTTGAGTCTATCACGCAGTTCCACCGAGAGGCCATCGTACACCACACAGCTGTAGTCAAAGTGGGGAAAGATGAGAGAGGAAACTAGGAGTCTACGGGTATTTTGGGGTAGAAGATGGTATTCTCCAATTTGTTTGTTATTTATCTGTATGTTCCCGATGGTCGACCGATCATTGAGATTATTCTCATTGAATGTTTTAGCATTCAATCATGGAATGAGGGAAGTCACCTTTTGAACTCAATAGCAGAGATATTGCATCTTCCTAACACTACCTTTGCCCCTCCAAAGTAAGTTTTAATTTTCTGATATACTTTATGGTTGTAACTTTATACACACTACATAAATGTCATAAACTGTTATTTTATTAAAATAAGCTTCGACCACTTCATTTTTATTTATTCTGAGAACATAATTATTAGGACCTGGATCTGAAGATGTTAATTTTCCTAGAAATAGATCATGAAAATCAATATTTAATTCTAAAAAGTTTTTTGCCACCATTTTGAATGGAAGGGACAAATGAATTCGACTATATTCTATTAAATTCAAATTATTTCTATAGTTAATTGTAACATTGTTAATGTCCCGTTCATTAAAAATAAAAGTATTATGGAGTTCTTTATTTTCCATAGAATTGATAACGAATAATTTACTTATTTATTAAAAATGTATAGAAGAAAAAAACCCACCCCATACTATATTTTATATTTTCAGAGATTTAGTAATGGAAGGAGCATTTTAATTTTATTTCAGTATTAAATGAAGATAATTGTCCATGTAATATTCTTGTAGAGTGTAAAGATTAAATTAGGTAAATGATGGATAAGTTCTTTAATTCAATTCTTAGCTCATTGGATCCCTTCACTAAACTGGGCAAAACAATGTTAACAATGACCTAAGATCTGAATTTAGGAACTTGCTCACTATAGTACAATTTCTTATGAGAAAATTTGTAATTTAATTTTTAAAAACATTCATTAATAAAACTATTGTAAAAAACAAAAAAAAACAAATACAAACCTCCCTTTCATCAAAGACTAAAACTGAGGGGATAAAAAGTCTCATGCTTTAGATATGTTCTGGAGGAAGCAGTTCAATCCTCCTCCCTTCCCTCACATAGTGATATTAATTTACAACATTAGAGTAGGCCATTTTTTTTTTTTTAATTAACAATTGTGTACAAAATAACTGTTATTTAGAATTAAAAGTAACCGCTTTTTGTAATATTCATAGTTAACTGCTTTGTTCATTTCTATTTGATTACATTATAGTCTATTTATTTGTTTCAGGGTTGACAGAAATGAATTAGTATTTAAAGTTCTCACAAATGAGGCAGGACTTAATGCTTCTGAAGTAGCGAAAAAAATTGGTAAATAAATTGGGTTTTTATTTTTTTTATCATAATTTAATTTAATAAATGTATGAAGATGAAAAAATTCCAAATTTAGAAGTTTTAAATAATTAATGTTTCAATGTCTTGATTTTTGTTTTTCAGATGATTACAAAAATGAAATAGAAAGAAAAACTGGAGTTAAAATCACAGCAACGGGTATAGGCTATAAGGTAGGTAAATTTATAAAAACAAAAATTTTACTATCAGTAGTAATCGTTAACTATATTATTATTGTAGTGACTTAAATCAGATTTTGTAATTTGTATCAATTCAGAAATATTTTGAATACTTTAGATTACTAAATTAATGAAATACAGAGCATATTCGTTTATTTTAAATGTTTTCTAATCTCATAGACAATTTAAAAATTATTTAAATGGTATTGAGTAAAATATTTAATTCTAAATATTTCAATATATAATAATTAATTAATTAATACTTAAATATTTTATATTTATAGAGTTTTATAGATTTATGTTACATCAATACATATTTATTATTTTTGGATACTATATAATTTACTATATAAAGGTTTATCTTACATGGCGAACAGTAAAAAAATCATTCAAAAATGTTTTTTTATTACAAATGCCAATTTTTCAACTTAAGCTTGGGAATCATTACCAGAGCAAGTGGATTCCATGAGATTTAAAAGAGTTCAAGGTTGAAAACATTGTTCTATGTAATAGAAAAAAAAATGTATGACTGATATCCTTACTATTCAAGATTCATTTTTGGTTTGCTACTTTAGTTATTTAAAACAGATAAAGGTGAGCCTTATACTTAATTCTTGTTTTTATATTTCTTTGTTTACTATATTTCTCTATTCAAAGCACAAATGGCCACAAAAGATGAGGTTAGATGGCCGATCGGAACATGAAGTTTATGTAGTTGGAGTGGTACTTGTTGGAGTATTGGCAGCCCTTGCGCTTTCTGCTGCTGTATTATATTTGACAAGGAAGCACGGCTACAAGCTCAAGTCCCATGTCAAGTCGGAAGGCGAACCAATGAGCAAACTTTACCAGGTGGGTGAAGGGAAGTGGGAATGGGCTTCATACAGACTTGCTCTGACTCAGGTTTTGACATTGCAGGATCTGTGCCGTGCCCGAATGTCGACCAAGACACCTGGGGAGAAGGAAACTGCACCCAGTCAACGCATCACCAGTCTTAGCAAGGAAAGCGACAAGGACAGTCCATCGTCCAGGTCCTCAACCTCTTCCTGGTTAGTCTGTAAGAATTCCACACCGTTCCACTCACGGAACCTTTGCTACACAATGGAGGGCTTCTTTAGTTACCCCATGCATATCAAATACTACAAACAATCTCAAGCAATAATGTGAGATTTATGTTTTGAAGCAGATTAAATAGTGTATAACTCCAAAATGAAACTAACAAAATCTAAATCACTATTTATCTTTCCCTTGGATAATTATCAAAATTTGGTAAGCCCTGGATAAAAATTAATAGAAATAAACAGTTTATCTAAAATGAAACAAATATTTAATGAAATATATTTAAAGTTTTTTTGTACTTCAAATTCCAAAAGTTGCTATCAGTTATTACACCCTAATTGCCAACAAAAGCTATTAGTTCCTCATATCCTTGGACCAACAATTTGTCCTGCTGTCCTTCGTGATCAATTATGGGAAGCCATTTTTTAATAAAGCTAAAACCAAATATAGGTTTATTTTTATTATCTACAATTGCAGGTTGGAGAAATAAAGGTTCCACTATCAAAAATGCTGCCAATGTCTGTTGGTTTGGCTATTAATATCCTTGTCAATTTAAATTAGTATCCTTAATTCTAACTAAAGTTATTTACAAAGTTGATATATTATTATCATAACTACATATTGTTTAATACGACTGTACTTAATTTCTGTGTGCAAATTCATTTAAATAACATAAAATACATTGATATAAAAGAGCAAAAACTCATTAAGAAATATGAATTATACATTAGGATATAATTTATAAATATTATTATACCTGAATTGGTAAAGTGCTGATAGTTAGTTTATAGAGGTTTTAAATGTTCAAATTATATCCTACCACAAAATACACTTTTTCAAATACTCTATAAAATCTAGAATAAACTTAATAAATATCCCCTAAAATTTATTAATTAGATAAAGTATAAAAAGAGGAGTTATTTTTTAAAATAAAAAAAAAAGTTAAAGTTAAAATCACCCTCCAAAATTATTGAAAACAGCATGCTCTTTCTTCATTATTTAAACAGAACTCCAATAATTCATTCATCAAATATAATTCCTTGTCTACTAAACAACTGCTCCTAGCAATATCAGCAGATCTTGACAAAGTATTAATCGTTGTTCATTTAATTGATTTTCTTGTCCTTTGAGTTGTTTAATATGTTGGCAATATCAATTTTTTTTTATGTAAGAGTTTTTTAACTAGACATTAATTTTAATTTACAGACTTTAACAAATTAAAATTACATAGTGAGATACATTTTTTAATCTGAATTATCCATATGGTAGATTAATTTAAAAATAAATAGTTCTGAAATTCAAAGACTCAAAAAAAAAAGTTCTTCTATTGGTCTTTATATATGATTTATATCTTTTGTCATTCATATTAATAATCCTGTTGAAAAGTATTATTTTTTAAGTTTCTAGTGTAGAAATTGTTCAATTAAAAGTAATAAGTTTGAGGGATTAAGTTCCAAATTTTAAATTATGGTACATTTTGTAATATTATTTTTTCCTTTTCTGTTGTAACTTTTTTTCTGTTAGTATTGAAATTATGTTGAATTTTTTATTAAAATAATGAATAGCCTCCATCCATTTATTCTTTCTTATATTTAATGACACTTTTGCACTTTGTTCTTTTATCGCATGTTGTTATGTTATTAATATCTCAAGCACAGAATTAGAAAAATAATTATAAGTCTGCAATGACCCAGAAAAAATAAAACAATTAATTTATAATTCTCCAAGAATTTTCAGGAATTTTATTGCAATTATAATCTATTTTTCTAATTAATGATTTTTTTTTCATGAATAAAGATTTTTCCCCCTCGGTCTGCTTTTATCATATCTCCAAAGACATATTATTGATTTATTTATTATATATCATTTGGTATAATATATTATCATATATTTCTTAAATATATTAAAATTAATTACTTTTAAATTTATCAAATTTGAAAATAGGTTTTCAATAAATAAAATATAAAAGGTGGATAAAATATATGATTTATTTTTCACTTAAGGTTTATTATTGTTCGGATTACTGTGCAGAAATTGAATGAAAGATATACATTTATAATTTTAATTCTATTCCCAATTTATATACACACACACATAAATTTCAATAGAATAATTTTGAAAAGATATAGATTACTAAAAGATGATGTTTATTTTCCATTGGCTCTGCTTATACAGTATCCTCTATTCTCTGAACATACTGTATTCTGAATTCGGGTGTTGGCCTGAAAAGAGGATTATGAATTGTTGACTGTCCAGTGTTCTGCTTTAGAGTTGGAAGATGGTTCCAAGTTAGTGGCATGCTGATAAGTCTATAGGTTGGCAATAGACGGATAAGTAAGGTGGTTGACAATACTCTAACAAGTGAAGCAGGTTGAGGTTGTAAGGCATTGCCTGCTTTAACATTTTCAAGACTAACAGGGTCAGTTTGAATCTTACTCTCTTTGAATCTCTACCTTTCCACTTTGGCTAGAATAGGATTGGTTGTTCCTTTAAAATATTTAAATTTAGCTATGTGTTGTTATCCTGATGAACCCTGAATTTGGGTTAGTTACGATATAAGAGACATTATGCATTAATTTATAATTTTGTATGTAAAAACACATCTCACCTTTCAGATTATGTTGGTGGCTGTGTTCTTTTGACATTTCCTCAGTACATGTCGTTGTGTTTCATTCTCTTCACCACATTTGCCGCAAAGTGACGCTTACATATAACACTTAAAATATTAGTTATTAGTATCACAAAACTGATAATATTGACTTTTGAAGTTTTTCAGATGTCAGTGTAATTAATCGATATCTTTTCAAAATACTTTATTATTACATATTTTGGATCCAATAGTAACCTTTTGAAGTTTATGTTTCATAGTATAAAAAAGTATATTGATATTTTTATTTAAAAACTATATTGTTCTAAATTTACAATGGATTAAAACAATCTTCTAGAGAAGAAGAAGAATCTAGAAATGGAACAAAAATTATTTGATAATTAATTTTTTTGGTGAATACCTATTGGTGAACTTGGTGAACTACCAACCAGAGAATGACATTTATTATTAAAAAATCATATAAAAATGTGTTAATGGTTCATGGTTTATTTCTTTATATTCAGTAATATAAACATTCTTAACTTAAGTTTATTTGGTAAATTAATATTAATTTTTTGTAGTGGTTCCACCATATTAAGCTGAGCAGGCTGACGTGTGTGCACAGCACCGCGCGTTTCTTGGCTACCTCATAACTGAAGTTAGAGACAGTAAAATTATGAGTTCGCGTCCCGTTTAACCCCCATCTTTTAACTCTAGCATTAATCCCCCGCCTTCACGGTTTCAACCATATTTTTTTTATTATTATTGCATTAAATTATAGAAAAAATTTCAAAAAACAATATCTTTTCAGAAGTTACTAGGAAAAGTTATTGAATACTATTCTAGAACAATTATTGTTATCATTTATTTTATAAAATATGAGTAGACATGTGTCCTTTCTATATGAAAAAGTGTTGAGAATGTTTGATGTTCTGATGAAAAAAAAAACAACTCTCAACCATGAAAGCTTTATACATATGATTTTTATTTAATAAAAGCCTATCTAAGGAAATTTAAGTCCACCACCACATATTAATACGTCCCAAAGGATTTCCATAAAATTAATTAAGATAATTTTTTCTTTATCTTTATTGCGAATTGATTTATTTTCAGGTCTGACATCTCAAGTTTGTTTTGTTTTCTCCATTTTATTAGATTACAATAATTATCAGTTTCGAAAACGAATTTCATTGAGGAGTTATGTGTTAATGCAGTAAAAACATGTTTATGCATGCATGTATATTAGTGTAGATGAGTGAAATTTATTTTAGTCCCCTGAGTGTGCATAACTTCTTGTTTGTTGGCTTATGTTTTTAAGAAATTATTTTAAATTAAAAAATGCATAATTAATTATATAAATTTAAAGAAATTTATGAACTGTATAAACCAATAAAATCAATTTTCTTTGAGTTTAAGTTTTAAATGAGAGAAAATAGATATTTATGAAAGAAAAATCTTCTTTTTTTTTACATTTGGTGACATATTATCATATAATGAACAATTTGATAAAAATACCACACTGAACCCTCCATTATTAACAATAACACCGTTTATTGCAATGATCTGAGAAATCCAAGAAAAATTTTAACTTTTTATTGAGGAGTTTGTCATTAATTTTTAGTAGATATAAACTTTAAAGGGTGGATTAGTAGTAAATATAAGATAATTACTATAAATTCAATTTTATCTAGCCGATTTCATACTATTTATTTTGACTATATTCCAATTGTATTTTGTTAAAAACAATTACTGTTTAAATATTCTGCATGCATTTCTTGTTTTAAACAATTGTTGTGTATGATTTTATTTCTTTATTTTATTATTCTTGGCTATTCTAATGACCCTCACTAAGCTCACAATGAAATAATGTGCTTTTGTTTTACGCTCTGCTTGTGTTTTTCCTAACATTTACTTTATAATTATTAGATATTGTCCATTGTAAATCTGCCATTACTTTATATAGCAATATTGTGACTGTATAGTTTCACAATGCCTCTATGTTCCTCCATAATGTTTTCTTCATTTTTGTCAAATCATTTTGGATTTGATATTATTTGTATTAAATTAATGTTGCTTCAGTATCATTAGGATCTTAAAGATTATGTACATGTTTATATTCTGTGAGATTATAAAATAAAAAATGTATAGTATCTGGGAGATCACCCCTGCATAAAAATAACTGGTCTAAACATGAAAATTACGAGTCATATAAGCTGAATATTTATACCCGAAAAAGTTGGTACTTAAGCTTTCAGACTGAAAACTTTATTAATAATTAAACAACATAGAAATAATGTGAGGCTGGATCTCTTAGATTAGCTGCATGAGATGAAACATTAATCTAAGTACTTTATTTGTAATTATTAAAGTCAGAATATTATTTACAAAAATATGAGTTATAGGAGTGAGGAACCAGCACTTACAAACATGGATGTAGCTACTGGGCAGATGGTTTTGGTAAGATATTTAAATAGTATTAATTGACAATGCTTAAAAACCATAATTGAATTTGTACATGTAATTTTAGTCTTACAATTACATGTAGAATTTATTTTAGTCTTATATGGAAGAACACTTGAAGAATAAAGAAATGCTAGACACAGAATGGACTGCACTATGTGCTTACGAAGCTGATCCCTGTGCTACAACGATTGCCCAAAGGGTAGGGTACTATTTTATGTACCTCGATAATCGTGACATAGAACTATAAAAATTTATAATATTTTTATTAGTTTATAATTTCACTTATTATCATGATTATTATTATTATTATAGGCAGAAAATTTGCAAAAGAACAGATATCCTCATGCTCTTCCTTATGACCATGCTAGGGTTGTGCTGAATGAGTTATCCAACATAACTGGATCTGACTATATCAATGCATCAACTATCGTAAGTTATCTACTTAATGTAAAATTATTATTATTCAATAAATACGATCCAACTGTCTATGATAAAGTCTCAATATTTTTTTATGAAGGATTTTTGTGACATGTTGACAATTATTTTATTTGAGGGACTAGGAAACAGTCATGTTTTTTAAGTCTTTATGTTATTTCATCAAAAAAAAGAAAGAAATAGAGAAAGGATAGGAAGATTATTATGAAAAAACTACCGTTCTGTGTTGAGTACAGTTAATTGAACATAAAACTTGCCTTTTATATAAACAGAAAAATCGGTCTATATGTACTAAAATTTAAACAAAACTGGTTGGTAATGATTAAAAAAGAAAGTTTCATTTCGCATTTGTAATGTTTGTTAATTATAATTGCACTTTAAATTTAAACTGAAATTTTAAGAACATGATTTATAAACTATAAAAACAATAAAGTGGTCTTTAGTAATGAAAATATTTACATTTCAGAGAAAATATATTTATTGCTGTAGGTAAATTTTGTTTATTATTACCTATTTTCCAGACTGATCATGACCCGAGAAACCCGGCCTACATAGTGACTCAAGGGCCTTTACCTCATACTGCCCCTGATTTGTGGCAGATGGTTTGGGAACAAGGATGTGTTGCTATGGTAATGCTGACACGTCTTGGAGAGGCTGATTCCCCCTTGTGTTACCATTACTGGCCGGAAGAGGGATCAGAAATGTACCATGTCTACGAGGTACAACTTGGTCTACACAAAATACGCACTATTTCTTTTTTAACTTTTTTAGAAGAATGTTAATCAAAATAAAAGAAAAGACAGAAATTTAATTAATTATATTTTAAATCTTACTAAACAGCTCCACAAGCCGAGCAGCAGAGTTTGAAAAATGAATTGCATGCTTTTATGTAAAGCTATGTAAAGATTCAACTACATTTTTATTAACTGCTATATGTTTTTGTTGATAGAGGATTAAAATTGAGATTTAGAAATGGGAATTTAAAAAAATAGAGTTAATTGATTTGGAAAAATCAACTCTGCATAAATTTGCAATAAAAAAAATTATAGGTATCTTTTTTTTTTTTCCTTTTTTGGCTTTAAGACTTGTAAAAGCAAGTCCTATTTTGCCAGTGAAATATTTTAATTGTCATAGTAAGATGAAATTACACTGGATATTATTAAATTATTTATAGATAGATGATCACTGAATGTAACTTATATAGAACTTAAACTAGAAAGACTAATAGTTAAAAACTGAGGTGACAGTAGTTTCATAACAATTAAATGAGAATAAGAGGCAACTTTTATTATACAACTGCTTTTATGTCATTCAAAAACTTTATCAAGTCACGGGCGTTATCTTTATTCATCGACGGAAGAAAGTTAGCTCCATCATCCATAGTTTGCGATCCTAAACTAATTCTTCTTCGCTTCTCGAATCTTTTGCATTTTAAGGCCATGTGTCTTGGATCCTCCAAGCATTAGCATGTTTGGCAGTGACCACTCTTAGCTATACCCATTAGATGTAGATATTTATTAGTTCTACCATGATTTATCCTAAACCTGATCAGCTTTACTAAGCTGGAGTGGTCGAGATGAGATTTAAGAGTCGCAAACCATGTAAACAGAGCTATCTTCTGTTGAACTGCATGATGGTCCTTATCCTTCGAGGCACATTCCCAGTCATAGAAATGGTGCCAGTCTTTCAATATTTTCCCTCTCACTATTCTTATCAAATCCAGTAAAGGAACCTTAGCATTTATTTGATGTAGTTGGTTTCAATTCGCCGTTTTGTCTGCCATTTCATTTCCTGATATTCCTACGTGGTCTGGCACCCACTGGAAAAAGTAATTGTTGCTGGCATTGTATATTAATGTTATGATTTTAAAGGAAATGTGTGTCAGTGCTTTATTTTGATAGATTAATTTTAGATGTTTACATGCAGTTGCTGAGTGTCAAAATAACTATAGGTACCTTATTAACATTTTTAAAACAATCTATCTTGCATATTTTTCCCATAAGCCTTTCTTATTGCCTACGTAACAGCTAGGAAGTAGTTACCTCAAATTTCGGATGTTTTAAAGTATAAGCTAGTATGGATAAAATAATAATTACAGATTACGGATTATAGTAATTAATCACGGATACAGATTACAGTAATAATTCAGACAGAGCAGTTTTTAGTAGACTGGCAGTCATCAGTCAACACTCCTACTTCAATCTAACCCGCGCAGAGTGATACGTGAATGATATAAAATAAATATAATCCTTCTTTATTTTTATTTCATATGGTATGTACTAGAATAAATCTTGAAGCCTTCAACAAATTACATTAAATTCTGGTCCAGTGAAATAATTTCTGAAAGTCTGTTTCATTATGTTTTTTGTTAGAAGTAACATCATGCTGTAACAGTGTCCAGGAAAATTGAATATCAATTATAAAACATATGAATTAAAATATACCTATATAATCATTGCTCTTTTACTCTTCTAATCATCCTGAATCTGACTTACAAGTATTGAATCCAGTGCAACAGTAAAGTTGAACGTAAAGGCAGTGTAAACCTAATATTTGGAACCATAACCCACATAAGATTAACATCATGTAATAATTATGATTTAACTAGAGATAGTCACTCAAGCAAGAGGTGGTAATATCAATTTTTAGGAATTTATTTATCTTGAGGCATCAATTTTTTTGTTATCACAAATTGATTTTCAGTTTTTTTTTATTTTATAAATTTAATTATACCAACTTTATTTTAATATCAACAAAAACATACACTACTATATAAAATTGTAAATGAAATATAATATAATATAATATTACCACTTATTTATTTTAATTATTAAATATTACCACTTATGTGCTAAGAAAATTTTTTAAAATATTTTGAACGTTTCTGAAGGAAAATAATTATACTTCATAAGTCCATCTCTACTAAACCGGATATATCTGTATAAAATTTAATAGACGACCACCAAGCTGGATTCAGAAAAGGGAGGAGTATGCTAGACCAGATCTTCATTCTAAAACAAATATTCGAAAAATTATGGGAAGAAGCTCAAGACGTCCACTCCCTATTTGTCGATTTCAAAGCAGCCTATGATTCTGTGGACAGGAGCTGTCTTTCAAAAATCATTACTGAACAGGGAGTTCCCGGTAAGTTAGTGAGATTGACAAAGGTGTGTACAAATGATCCCAAATGTAGAGTCATAATACAAGGAGGAGTATCTGAAGCCTTTAAAGTTCGAACGGGTTTACGTCAGGGAGATGGACTCTCACCAATGCTGTTCAATTTAGCCTTGGAGAAGGTAATAAGAAAAACATCACAGGAAAATGGATGGGTCCATGTCGGAATGAATCATAAAATCATTGGTTATGAAGATGATATAGGTGTCCTTGCAAGTAATCAAGAGGATTGAGAAACTCGCTGTGACTCTGATACGAGAGGCAGAGCAGATCGTTCTAAAAGTAAATGAAGACAAATCAAAATATATGATAATATGCTGAAAATTCCACCCCAATAACAGGATCTGCGTAGAAGGAAAATCATTCCCAAGATAGAAAAATTCAAATACATTGTCTACAAAATAACCTCAATGAATGACCAAGGGCAGAAATAGCCCAGCATATAATTAGTGCAAACAGAGCTTTCTTCTCTTTTTCAAAGGGATTGAAATCTCAAGAAATCTTAAATTAAGGGTGTACAATGCTATGATAAAGCCAATTCTACTATATGGCTGTGAGAACTGGACACTAACCAGCACCTTAGAAAAAGTGTTGAAAGATTTGAAAGAAAAATCCTCTGCACGATAACCGGAGCGATCTGGGATCAGAGTACTAACACATGGAGAAGAAAGACCAATAAAGAACTGCTTACAGAAACTGGACAATCAATATCCCATGATAGGAAGGCACGGGGGTTAAGGTGGGTGGGGCATGTAGCCGCATTAATCCATCTGGAAGTCTCTATGTAACAATGAATGCCCCAATATATATTATATGAAATATAAGATGGGTTTCAACAGTCTTAAAGTTTGATAATGTAACTTATATTATATTTGGAGTAGGGAGCTACATTTTAAACACTATGGTTATTTCAGGTTCATCTAGTAAGTGAGCACATCTGGTGTGATGATTATTTGGTTCGTAGTTTTTATCTGAAGAACCTCAAGACTGGCGAAACCCGCACGGTTACCCAATTTCATTTCTTATCATGGCCAGAAGGAGGTGTTCCAGGCACCACTAAACCTTTGTTGGAATTCCGAAGGTGAAAAACATTTTATCCTACCCTACATATATATAAATTACTATTTTTAAATAAATAAGAAACTCTAAAATGGGGTGTTTCTTTTTTATTGCAGGAAGGTCAACAAATCTTTCCGAGGAAGGTCATGTCCCATAGTTGTGCACTGCAGGTGAGATTTTAAAATAAATTTTATTTTTATTTATTAGCTTTAAATTATTATTCTACAAGGGCCTGTGAACAAATTATCATTTTTAATTATCCAATTAATGTAAAGTCCTTTAAAAATGACAAGTAGATTCAACTGAAATAGGTATAATGCTTCTAAGATAAGTTTTCATGTAGGGAAAGAGAACTCACGCAGCCTTTCCCCTCTCAAGCTCCAATTCCCTTCCTTTCGCATTTTTCGATGTTCAATTTTTTTTAAACTTCTAATTTTGTAAAAGAAATGAAAAAAATGCTGAAAGAAATTTCAAATAGTAAAAAAAATGTTGAAGTATGTTCGAATGAGGGAAGAAAAAATAGTGTGAGGATAGGAAGGAAAATGTTTTACTACTGCTCACCTCTCTCCTCTTCTACCTACCAATAAATTTATCTTAGACGGAATTTACTAACTGATAAAATATTTGATACAACCAATGTGGATATCTCCCAACTTCTTATATACTACCTAATCCGGTCACCTTTCCATTTTTGTATTATGTTCTTTGAAGAATTATGTTAAATTCCTATTGCTACTGATCATGGCGATGAATTATTAAAAGATTAAGTTAACTGAGTTACTTTAATGAAAAATAGCCTAAACATTTCTGAAATATCGTAGATTTAAAAAAGTAAATATTCAAATCCCAATTATTCAATTAAATTCCAATTATTTATAAATCAGATTGTGACTATTTGTAATATATTTATATTTAAGTCTCGATAATCAAAGTTTTATGGGACTAGATCCCTTTCGGATTATGAAAAAATGGATTATAGGAATAGAAATAGAAATAGAAATAGAAAAATCATCTTTATTCTGGGACTAGGTCCCTTTAGAATAACAGTATTGTTCATATATATTAACTATAAATCTGGTCAAAAGACTTATTACAATGAATAATAACAAAATACATGTAATACATTAAGTATTAATTAAGCTCTTAGGATAAATTAACGAGGACAGTTGGGTAATAGGGGTTCAGTACTACAATATTGGAACTAAAATAATTGCATAATAATCACTGAATGAAATTAGAAAGGAAAGTAAAATCTATTTTATAGGTAAAGCATTGTAGTGATGGAATATAAAAATTAAAAAAATAATAATAACTGTTAATATGTAGGGAAAGAAATTGTAAAAACTAAAACAAAAAAAATATAAAAAAACAAATAATGATATACATATGTTCCCTAAGATATTTAAGTGATTATGCGTAAAGATTAGGAGAAGAGAAAATAAAATAAAGTATACATATACACATAGCGAGAAGTATGTTGAAGATAATTAGAAATAAAATACCTTTCACTGAAATACATTTCATGAATAACAAATTAGAACTTAAGAAAAACAAATTTTATCTACTCACAATGCTTAGTGAGTGGTGATGAAAATTCACGTGTGAAACAATAAAAAATAAGAGAAAAAAAAAATAATGTCTAAAGAAAATTAAATCCTTATAACATAGTATGTATTTAACCAGCGTCTGATTGGATTGTGAAGAGGAATTGGAATAAGAGGGTTTTAAAGGTGGATAAGGATGATGCATGGCGGATTTTTAGTGAGATGGAATTCCAGAATGCAGTAGAACGGACAACGAAGGAATGTTTAAATGATGCAGATCTGTGGAAAGGAGTGTAAAGGTCAGAAGGATGAGATCTTGTGGAGAGGGTGTGGATAGATGATTTGAATTGTAGGAGATTGTATGCGTAGGACGGACGATGACTATTGATTATTTGGTAAAGGAATGTGCCTAGGAAATATTGTCTTCGGAAGGAAGGGAAGAGCCATCCTAATTCAGCATAGTGGTGCGAAACACGGGAATACCTCAGGGCCCCTGTGACAAATCTTACGAAGGCATTCATAATTCTTTTCAGTCTCTCCCCGAGTTCGGTCGAGAGGCCACCGTACACCACGCAGCCGTAATCAAGGTGGGAGAAGATGAGGGAAGTTACTAGGAGTCTACGTGTGGAGATGGGTAGGAGATGGCGGAAGCGATGGAATAGTTTCAAGGTACCAATTGACTGTCGGGTAATGTGAGCAATATGGTGTTTCCAGGATAGGGTTTGGTCTATGAAAATGCCTAGGTTTTTTACTGAGGAGGTGAAGGTAATGGGATGGTCATTTAGGTACAGTATAGGTATGTTGGTATTGGCTCTGAGAAGGGGTTTGGAACCAATGACAATGGCTTGAGTTTTTGCAGAGTTTAGCCTTAATCCATTTAAGTTTGCCCAGGCACTGATCCGATTCAAGTCTTCTTGAATTTTGGCAAACGCTTCATGCAACTCTGAGGGATGGAAGGAAAGGTAGATTTGGGAGTCATCGGCGTAAAGGTGATGGGACCAGTGAAGGATTGAATTATGGATGTCATTGATATAAGAACTAAAAAGGAGGGGAGATATGCTAGAGCCCTGGGCCACTCCTGCGGACAAAGTAAGATAGGAAGACAATGGTTGATTAGGAATAGCGACAGCTTGTGAGCGTTGGGAGAGGAAAGATTGAAACCATAGGATAGAACTATGGGAAAAGGATAATGATTTTAATTTGGAAAAGAGAATGGAATGGTTGATGGAATCAAAGGCTTTGGAAAAGTCAATGAGTATAAGGACAGTTGGTTTTTTGTCATCAATGGCGGACTGAACATCATTAATGATTTTGATTAGGGCGGATTGTGTGGAATAACCTGGTCGGAAACCAGATTGGTAAAGGTCAAGTTTATTGGACTGTTCAAGGAGTTGGAAACATGGGATTGCACAATTCTCTCCAGGGGTTTGGAAAGGAAAGGAATAATGTTAGGAAGAGAAATAAATCTTTAAAAAAAATCACATTAACATGTTTATCGATGTGCATACATATACTTTCAAAAGCTATGTACTTAGATGAATTTAAACATCATATGTGAAAGTATCTTCTACTTTTGTTAGACCCCTTCTTTTAACAGCTGTGCAAATACTCTATTAATTGAAGAAAAACCAAATCTTATTATTCCATGTATTTCAATGATTTGTTGAGTCCATGAAATCGATCTCCTGGCTGATTTTTTGATGTTTTATCTTCCACAGTTGTCATTCACAACCATCTCGAGTTTTTATTCCAAAAACCACTTCATTCATGATTCAAGGTTTTAAAATTCTTCTTGCAGTCGCCCAAAGAGATGGCACTTACTCCTTCTAGTTCATCTGGGATTGTCTTTATAGAAACATTTTTATAGATCCTAGACAATCTGTTTAATTTTGTCCTAAAAAGAAATGTGTTTCTGTTTACTCAATGATATATATATATATATATATATATATATATATATATATGTATTCATGATGAAAAATTATTTGGGGCTGAAGTAATAATGATAAAGAGAAAACAGTACAGAAAATTTTTAGATTCCTCCTCTCTTTTCTTAAAAACTCACAATAAATACATATTCCACTTATGAACATTTAAAGTGATTATCCAATTAAATGTTTTTAAAATTTTAATAGAATTTTTTGATTTAAAAAATCACCATGGATTATCACAGCTCTGAATATCAAAATTCCTCAAGTATGAAAACAGTTTTATAACACAATATTGTTGTGGCCTTTATGTGATGCTCATTTAATTTGTTCTAAAGCGACTTGTCCCACAATAATAAAGATATTTTTTCATCAAAGATATATTGACATTCATTTTAAACTCAGCCATTGACCCAAGAAGTATCATGGAAACTTATGTGGGTATTTATACTTATTCATGAATATTGAAAATACATAAATATCAATGAGTACTTATAGATATGATGATTGATCTATATAGTACATTTTTTTTTTTTCAGTGATGGTGTAGGAAGAAGTGGTTCTTATGTCCTGTTGGACATGGTCCTTAATCGGATAGCCAAGGGAGCTAAAGAGATCGACGTTGGGGCAACGCTTGAGCATATCCGGGATCAGAGGGGAGGAGCAGTTGCAACTAAGCAACAGTTCCAGTTCGTCCTCCAAGCAGTCGCTGATGAAGTACAAGCAATTCTGAAACTGCTTCCACAACAACCGTAAAGTGTCATCGTCTAAGAACACATTTACTAGGTGATTGGCTCTACTCACGACTGGAATCTGAGTTGATATCTCATTTAGACAACTGTCATTATTACTGCGGACACAGTGAGGTTTTAAAATTGTAATATTTTCTGAATTGTGTAACTCTATTTTGGAAAAAAAAAAATTATATATATATTATATCCTGTAGCCTAAATAAATGTTATTTATTTATTGTTGTTAAAATTATAGTTTACTATTTTTATTTTTCATGCTTACAGAACACAATTTTAAAAGTAAAAAAATAAAAAACATGGAATTAGACTGTGCTCAGCTATTTTCTAAATAATATATTTTCTAAATTGAAAAAAAATGTAATAAATGTTTTTTTTTTATTTATGAAATAAAATTATACAATTTGCAAGGGGTCCACTTTCAAAGTTAGAGGCAGTCGATATAGAAACATCAATTCTATCAAAACAAACTGAATAAGTTGTTTTCAGATCAGGTACTGCCGTCCATTTGTTTGTTTAGTATTAATTTGTTTTATTTTTATTAGCTAGAACATTTAAAAAATAAGGCAATTAAAAGAGCTTACCAGACAATTTTATAATCCTATTGTAACAATCATTTTTTGTTTAGTTTATTAAAAAATATAAATATATTTTAGCGTTAAATATAAAATTTTGATGAACCCCTTGTGAAAAGTAGGTAATAATAGTAAAACTCATCTGCTTTACAGATCTATCTTACTACTGTTCCTGTTCCATGTTAATAATATTATTGAATACTTCTATTAATTTGTTATTTCCTGATCAAATTTGCATTTTTGAATAAACTAACCATAATTTATGCTTATTTTTACACTGAAATTACCAGACTGAGCACATTCGGCCATTATTGTAATGTTAAAAAAAAATCAAATTTAATATAATATATCTGTTTATAATTTTTTATCTGTCTAATTAATGTTATATAACTGTAAAACTAGAAAATGTGCGAGTACTATTTCTATTTAACTAACACAAAACTATAAGAGAAACATTAGATATTATGAATAGCATATATGTATGTTTACATGGCATGACCTTTTTAGAATTATTGAAGTAAAAAATACATCTAAATATATATTAAATAATAACTATATTTATAAATGTTGTATTTATCATCTATTCGTTAGAGAATGAGATATTAATTTTTTTTTTAATTACGAAAGATGGAACTGTCAATTATGATGATGGGGGTTGGACATTGAAACTAAGGTGCTTAACCTTTCTCTAAGGTTTTAAATGATTGATTCACATCAGAGGATATATATATATATTGTTCATATACAAATTTTAAATCAGTTAATGTTTCGAAATATCCGAAACACAGATATAGTAATATGGAATCATTTTTAAAAAACAAAAAAATAAATACAAAATAAAATGATATCTATAAATCTTTTTTGGTTCATATGATGAAAATAGCCTTTAATTTTTTTTCTTTCATTTTATATTTTCAACATCAACAGTTTTAATTTAGTCTTTACCATGAAATATAATGTATTATTTAAAATAGCAGCACTTGAAAAATGTGCGCTTTTTATATTTTAAAAACTCCAAGGAATCCAGTACAGGAGAAAACAAAGACTGAGTATATAACAAAAAAAAACCAATAAAAATACAAAAAAAATTTAAATTAATTTCATTTTTTATTTTTTTTTTTTTTTTGGAAACATGAAAAATAAATGGAGTCAAACTGTACCTGAGTTTCGGAGGCATATGTAAAATTACTAAATGCATTATCTATATAATGTATTCATCAATTTTAGAAACTGTTAGTACATTTTTGTGCCAAAGAAATGAAATGAGATCCTCTTGCCAACCCCGAACCTCAGTATTGAGCATTTAAAACTGTTTAGGAGAAATTGGGAGTTTGGAATTTGTGATTATGAATCAGAGTATTTTTATGGTATAACTTTATCTAAATGTTAAATATCAGCGTAGCGGGATCCTCCAAGGTTGAAAACTATATTTTTATCTGAATAATTGCAAAAATTGATGTTGTGTATCACCGACAAATTGCATGCACACTGTTAGAACAAAAATATATAAATATATGTATACTAGTGAATATAAGATTAAATAAATGTATGTTAAAAGATTGTATGTTTAGTGTTATTAAATTCTTTTATGAAGAGATTCTAGTTTATTGATTTTGTTGGTTGCATTAACTATTATAATAAATCATCTTGCAAATCAATACAATACAATTTATTATCCTCTTAAAAATATTTCAACAATCTGTTTTATATTATATATGATTGAAATGCTTGAAAAGTTGTTAGATTTTATTATACTGAAAGTGAAGTTTATCTGAGTGTAAACATCAGCATACAAAAATAGATGTATGTGTTTTTCTTATAGTTATTTTTATTATTCCAATTTTTCCAGACACGATACTATATTGAAACAAAATAAGTGATAGAAAATTGAAAGTTTATTTGATAATTCTTATAAATTGGTACTTGAATAAATTTTCAAATTTTATTTATGCTTTATGATTGGATTAAAAGAATAAAAACTCAAAAAGTCCCAAATATTTTCTGATGCATATTTGCAGAAGTGAGCATGTTCCTCCTCTTCCCCCAAAGTTGATAGCACGTACTCTCCTTCTCCCCAGAAATTTTAATACTCCCTTCTTAAAAACAGTGCAAAGGATAGAAGAATTGGAAAAAATGAAGCTCAAATGCAATTATGCTTTATATGGTCTTTTCCATGATTTTCCTTATTTTCTGATTTGAAAGTTCCTTCAAATTACAACTCTTTTTTTTTACTTTCTTTTTTTTTCACCCTACCTAGCCATTTCTGGCATACGGGTTTTTCAGCAGCAAAGGTATTGCACATGAGAAGTGCACATGCCACTGCTGCCAATACAACTATCTTTATTTTGTTTATATATTTAGGAACAACAAAAACAGGAATTCTCACCTCGCCTTTAATCTTGAATAAACGATGGGAAAGAATTTCCTGAGGGTAGATCCCTTCTCTGTTATCGTCCACCGTCTGTTCCACTCCTTGAGCAAATCCTCCCTTAACACCGTCTTCCCTGGTCTTTATTCTGCCCTCTTTCATATTCCTTCCAGGAGTGATCCTAGCCTGTATCTCTTAACATCAAACTTAATGGCGTCTTCTCTCAGAATTAAGTCCAGGGACATTTCCCCAGCTAGCATCTGTACTGCTTCGTGTGAGACCATTCTGTTGGCCTTTGTAACTCTAATCAGTGCCAGTTTCAGAATGGTTGCTAGTTTTTTCCTTTGTACTGGTGTAAGGCGCCGGCCCCAGGCATGGAATGTTTACCTCAGTATTCCCAGGACCTAGCCTTTATAAATAACTCTTGTTGCCGGATATTTAATTCTCCATAAAGCATTCTCTATCCTTGATAGTCCATCCAATGAGTGAGTCACCCTATCTCTAAGATATGAGATGTGAGGAGTAGCATCAAACCCTCACTTGAATCTGACTCCTAGGTACGTCACCTCCTCATATGCTCGTGCCCTTACTCCTCCCAGGTTCAGGTTAATAGGATGAGCGGTCTGTTTTCCCTTTAAGAAGTATAGCCTGGGTTTTGGCCGCCACCATTCTCAGCTTCTTTCTGCTAATCCATTCTTCTACCTTACTGGCACTCCTCTTTGCTTCCATCACAAGCCTAGCTCTGCTATCAGCTGCTACTATCACAGCCAGGTCGTCAACGTACGCTGTGCCTCTGAAACTCTCCGCTTCTAGCTCCTCAAGTATTTTTAAAATTACAACCCAACAAAAATATGGTTCCCATAAAAATTTTGTAACTCCATCAAAATAAGTCTTCCTCCAAAATTCTAAGTCCTGTAAAAATGCGCACCTTTACAAATTGTGATGACCTAGCTTGCACCATCACACCCTTCTGGACACTCCTGTATATTTGCAAGGGTAATTAATATTATTGAAAAGAGATGGAAACAAAGATAAGTCACAACAATAGAGACAGACGACTATGTCAGCAGCTGTCAGTGCCTACCACATACCAATAGATATCATATCCTTTTTAGCTTAGAATGGAGTTTCCAGTTGAAAACTTCCTTCAAAGAATTATCTTTTGATTCTTTTTCTTTCATCCTACCGTTTCTTAGTAAAAATATTTAGTTTAAAATGGATAATATTAGCTTTTTTAATGTTTTTTTCTTGATGCTCCTACCTTGCCATTTCTGGCATACGGGGTTGTTCTGGAGGTACAACCAAACCTATTCTAACCAGAGTGGAAAGGTCGAGATTCATTCTGTAGATCCGCCACAAAATAAATTTTAACCTGCCCAGGCCAGATTCGAACTGGCTTTGTTAAACCTGAGAATGTTAAAATTTATGCTTTAACACGCTTGGCCATCACAACCTCAAGCTTTAGTAAATAAAAATTATCATGCCTAGCTTATTTTATTTATTGCTTTTATAAATAAATAAAATAAGCCAGGCATAAAAATACAGAAATGATACACAAAAAGAGTAATTTCAAACTTCTTTAATATTTTGTATTTGTTCTCATTATCTCATTGCCATTTAAATTAAAACTCTTAATTTGATGAACCTAATTGAATAGAGTAAAAATCAGATCTTTACCAAATTATAAAAATTTAAGAATATTCTATATTATGCAAAAATTCAAAGTAAAATATGAACCAAAAATATAGCCACTTACCATCTTTTTATGATTAGGTTCTTTCCAACAAAAAACAACAACAAATAACCTGTATTTAAATAAAGGACAAAAGCATTTTCTTCCATCAAAATAATTGTAACTTAACAAAACCAACTACCAATATCAATAGGTTAAAAAATAACAATGGAGAAAAGTGTAAAATCGGCAGATACACCAATCATTTTGAGGAACAATATATTATTAGCCTTAAAATCAATCCGGCTTCTGCGCTTTGTAGAGGTTTCGTGATATTTAAGTTTTAGGAGAATGGGTTATCGGCCCACTGCCCCCAAGTCAGGTGGGGCCTGCCTCCTATGAGCGCCCTGACGCACTCCCCCATCCGGGGCGGCTACCCAGGGGAGGTGACCCTGGGGTGTGTACTGTGATTGACCTTTGTCTGTAATGAAGGGTGTTGTAGTGTGCTGTTATCTAGTACTGTGTGCATGTTAGTGTGAGTGTTTCCCCCAACCTGGAGGACCGGTGGCTGGTTGCAGCCATTGAGAAGAATTTTTGACCCGGTTCGAGAGGGAGACACCTGGATAAGGAGGAAGAATCAGGAACTCTCAAGACTGTAAAAAGTTCCTGATATCATCAAGTAGATCAAGATTGGGAGACTTCGATGGGTGGGCCACATTGCAAGGATGAAGGAGGACGAGATCCCTAAGAGGACATTGGCTGAGAGTGGGTAGGCCAAATGTGAGGTGGGCTGACTCTGTCACAGCGGATGCACGTAATCTCCACAGCGTTAAGAACTGGAGAGCTGCAGCAACAGATAGAGCCAACTGATAGAGACTTTTGGAGAAGGCCTAGAACCAGTAACGGGTTGTTGCACCAACTATGTATGTATGTATATTATTAGCCAACAAGCAGGAAAACCCCCTCGAATACTTGTTCCAAAAGAGAAAATGAAGGACTTTATCAAATGTAGCCATGAAAAATTGGCCCATATTGGAATAGTGAAACTTTTGAATACTCTTAACTGTCATTTCCATATCTGAGAAGCTTCAAGACAGGTAAAAAAATGTAGTTACGCGGTATTATGAATGTCAAGTATCAAAACACTCCAATAAAAAATTTTTCAGACAAATGAGAGCAGGCTGCTTATATTACTTTTTTGGAGATATTGGGATGAAAAACTTCCATGACATCCATCACTGGGATTCATGACATTCATACCATTTTAAATTTGTATTGTTGACTTTTAATGATAGATTATTACTTAATTTTCTTACCTATATCAATTTTTCATTTCGGAAATGCTTGTTAAGAGCAATCAAAAATATATATTTGTAAGATGTCTTCTGAAGAAGACGAACTGCAGTAATGGTCTAAACTGTAGCATTCCAGTACCGCTATTTCTTCTAGTTAACCTCATTCTTGGCTATATAGTGGCACATATTACACAACATGTTGTCATTAGATTTGTTTAAAGTTTGGAAACTATCCATATTAAAAATATATACTTCAGTGCTTTAGATTTTAATGAAGCTCCTTTGAAAATGTCTCCTTTTGACTGAGAATAAAAACATTTTTATTTTATCTGGGTTGTTTTGTTGGCTTATTTTCAAATATTTGCTGCAAAAAAATAAGATTTTAGAAAAGTTTCTTGAAAAAATATATATTAAGAAAGTCTTTAAAACCAGTGACACATCATTCCTTAATCATAATTAGTTATGATCACTAACAGACAAAACATTGTCACCCATTACCAAAACTCTTAAACAAAATTGTTTTAAATTTAAAAAATATTAATAACCTAAGGAAAATTTAATATTTTTTAAGAATATAAGTAAAATCTTGAATATTTCAGTTAAACATATGTTAATTAATATGAAAAAATTCAAAACAACGATCAGTATAAAAGTATAAATTTAAATGAAAAGATACCCACCTTAAAAGTCAAATAAGAATGAAAAGAGCTAAAAATAAGATCTTACTGATAAACCTAAAAAAAGGTGGCATTGATATTAGAACCCATGAAAAGGTTCTAAAAACGTAATCAGAATCTAGATTTCAAAATACAGACAGAGAAAAATACAGCTATATAAAATATATATTGTACTTAAAGAACAGTATAGAGAGGAATTTGTTGGGAGAAAATCTCCAGTTGAATTGCTTTGGTTTGGTGGAGGGAGGGGAGGAGGGTTACATTAGGAGTTACAGGAATTAACTTTTTGGAGAAGCTGGGTCTTGAAAAGAATTAACTACAGAGCCTGGCGGAAATCATTATTAAGCTTTATTATGAATCCTTCATCAACACATTAGTTAAATCTAGCCTTCATACTGTTGATTCTTCTTAAAATAAAGAAGAAAAAAAACATTCGATATTTATCATAATAACCCCATCTAAATTTCTTTTTTTATATATATATATATTATCTATTGGTCTGATGAGTGCACTGTTGAGCATCAATGCAATTTTATTGTAGTTCTGTATTTATGAAAACAAATACAAAATTAATTATAATTTTATTAATAAGTCACGAGTCAAAATTAAAATATCTTATGTATCATTTAAGTAATATTATACAATCAGTTTCATAAAACATAATTTGAATATCATTCGATTATTAATCATTAGATACTTAAATAAACCATGACCAGTAATCTTAAATTATTCTTCTGTATAAAAATTTGGTGTGGGCCTCACAACTTTCAGTTACCACTCTGAGCAGAAATTATTTTCTGCCGAAATTGAGCTCCATTCATATATTCATGACATTTGTGAATTACAGTCATATTTATCAATACACAAACTTATTAAAATAACAATAAATAAAATAAAATAACACTAACCATATTTATTAATTTGATGTTTGGCAATGAAAACATCTTATCTCCTACAATATATTTAAATCATTTAACTACATTCTTGGAGCTCTATATATAACGAGAGAATTGATAGATATACATAGATATTTCTAATCTATAAATAAGTATGGATTACAGTATCTTGTAAAAATATAGTAACTGAATCTCTCTTTCTTTATAAACATGTCTTTAAATTCTTTTTTTTTCTCTTGTAAAATTTATCAAAATGGAGTTACAAAGTTTACCCACTGTTGGTATGTCAAAAGTCAAATTAAGTGCAGGATTGTATAAAGAGGTACTTCCAGTAAGTTGATAATGATAAAGTTACAGTAACATTCCTGGTTCATATCTATAAATAAGTAATTTCAGGTTTGTATGATTTTTTTATTTATTTTTTTTTTTTAACTTTACTGTTCACATACACTAACACACACACAAATCAGTTCCCTGCGACTTGGTTATTTGGACTCTGAAGACCAAAAATGTTTATTTACATTGAAAACTTGGATTAAAAATTTAATCCAATTACGGGAATATTAATCAGATATAGATAGCATGTGTAAATGTAAATGCTGTTTAACGTGTAAATACAACATATGAAGAGCATGATGATTTATTAATTTAATTATAAATTTATATGATTTATATTTATAGTTTGTTGTTTTATTATTGGGCCTCAAAAAGTCTTAGTCACATTCAATAGCCAACATCAGTCAACTGTTATTCCTGGAAAGTCTTTCTAAATAGGTTCCAAGTTTTATTTTTATATTACATATTTTCATTACCAAAGCTGAATTAAAACATAAACAAATTTAAATACAGATACGAGGAAAAATGTTTCCTATCTAATTTAAATCAATTATTAAATAAAACAACACACTCACCTTTTGTGCTATTTGACTTGCATGTATGTAATAAAAAAATTAAATTATTACAATAATAGTGAGTTCATTTATTATTTTTTTATTTAATGATGGCTTCAAGATCAAAAATAAATTCAAAATTTGTTATTTATATAAAGGATTCGGTAATATAAAATGTTCTTGATACATTAAGAATGAGAAAGAATTAACTTTTTTAAAATTAAAAAATGCTTTTTCAGTTAGAAACGATTTCAATAGTTCTCTGTTCAGTCGATAGAGCGTGTAGTTGTCAAGTTGTGTATTGCCTGCTCGATAATATGATTCAATCGTATTTTCGGCCGAATCTTTTAAAGATGGTTATGTCGAGAGCTCCAACTGATACAAAGCTCAAATTTTAACGCTATGTTAATGCATTAAAAGTTAAATGTTGTTGGTTTATCGAAGTTACATTGGAGCCTCAGGGACGGTGGAAGGAAAGTGGTGGGGCAAGTTGGTCTGCCAGTCTTGTTCTGCATAGCCGAGTTTGCTGTTGAGCATTAAGTTATGTTTTCCGTCTTGTATCGTACATAGTGAGTTTTTTTTTTTTGGCTTTATCAGTAGCTTAGAGTGAAAATGTGGTGCCGAAAATGTGCTTTCGAAGAAATTGCTTTCATCCTTCACCAGGCCTCAGCTCTGGAATACAACGCATCTGTACCAATACTTTTTTAAGGTTAATTCAGTTATCCAAAGTAAGCTTTTATCATTTTGGTTGTTTGATCATACTTTTATTTACCGGATTATTTTCTACCTTTTTTAAAATGTATTCTTTCATTAGTTAATGTGTAGTATTTTATTTCTAGCAATGTACCCTAATTATGATTCATTTTGTTTTTAAAACAGAAGAACTGAAAGGAGTGTTATCATTTTTCGAGTTTTTCAAATTAAATTTATGAATTTCAGCTTTGGAATTCCTGCTAAGTATATTTGTATAATTTAACCCAGAAATGTAACGTTATTACTGAACTATAGTTGTTCCTATTCACATTTTCTCTCTACTGAAGCAAATAAGTTAAATATTTTTATTTATATGGTACTTTATTACTGCGCTGTTGTTAAATGGTTTTGTTGTGCCAATTATTACACTAATATCACATTACTTTTGACCCAATAACAAACCTGTGCCAAGTTATCAGTTCTCAATTCATTGATAAACATTAAATGACTGATTAAATTACTTACTTTATCCAAAATATTGGTATCATATCCAGCAAATTTATTCTTATCGAGTTTAATGTACTAAGGTTCTCTGCTTGAAGGCTCAAGTAGATTGGCTCTGGGGTTTACCAATTTATTGACATTCTGATGGAATGGTGCCATGGCTAAAAAATGGCTTGTGTTTAATCATGCTATAGTTGATGTCAAGGGTTTTATTTATCACCTTATAAATACTTATAGAAATGCAATATATTAAAGCCAACAATATTGCTTTACAGTTCATAGTAATTAAGCCATTTGTTTCATGTCTTTCACAGAATACTCACAAAAATAATCCACATCCGACATATGCATGTTATTGTTTTATTTTAAAAAGTAAGTATCATTGATTAGTTCATTATGTTTTGTTATGTGTATAGTACCATATATTTTCATTTTTCTATGAAGTTTGCTCTCTATAAAGTATTTTTTTAAATAATTTGCGGAAGGAGTTCTTAGTGGACTAACATTCATAACCAGTTTTTTTTAATATTCTCGAAAGGTATCTTTAATACAGTTTTTTATTGTTTTATATTTAAATATTATTTATCCTTTTTATTTCATTGAAAAGTCAAGTAGTAATTATGCATTATGTAGAAATTAATTAATTTTCATCTTTATCATAAACAAAATATAAATTAATGTGTATTTAATAAATATGAATATATATTGTTTGAAGTATCTGATTATTTATGAATTGTTTTTAGAAAATATAAACATTAATCCCATAGTTTATTTATTTAATTGGATTATTTATGGACAAATGAAGTAAATTGTCTGATATAATGTTTGTATATTCAGAGATTGTTTAATGTACTATTATTCTTCATGAGGCATTTTGGATCACATGCTAATTTGTTTTTATTCACATTTAAACATTATTATATCATGATTTGATTTTAAAATTTTTATTATATTTTATATATTTGTAGAATGATTTTGATATATGTACATAAACATAAGATTTGACACATTCTGATTGAACCCCATAGTGTTTTTTATGTATGCGCCTATGTTATGGTTACCTTACCGCTAACAGGTTCATGCAAGTCGTTCTTGCATACAATATTTACTATGCCATCATCATCGGCCTTGTACTAGAAAACCTTTCTGTCCTTTTGGTTTTCATTTCTCCTTAGTTTTTAGTGCACTCTTTATTTTACATTCAACATCCCCAAAGAAAGTTTGATTTAATGTACGAGTTAAGAAACGTTTTGTTGTTTTGTTTATTTCAGGTTAGCAAACTTCAAATTTCCCGCCTCTAACGGTGAAATTGAAAGAACCAGAACTCCGTTCTGTTCTTATATATTTCTTCATCTTAAATATATTATGTTTTATTATTTGATTTTATGATTATTTCTAAATGAATGTTAACTAGTACTACCCATTTGTGTTGGTCGTGATCAGTTACGGAAATCGTCATGTTTAATTAAATTATATTAACCTTTATAGGTTTGAAAGTGGTTGTTGAATCAAAAGGAATTTTTAAAAAACGTAGTTCAATAATAATTGTTTACCACTTTTAATTGATATTATCAATGTTTTCTTATCATATTACTAATATTCTATGAGACTCGTGAAGATTCATTTTGATAGAAACAATTCTGTACCATTACTAAATAGATCAATTTATTTTATTAAAAGGTCGAAATTCCTGATCATTTCAAAATTTATATTTTATACCAGATTTCCTGAATTATTTGTTTGGTAATTAAATTCAAAGTAAAAACTCTTTGTAAGTTTAGAAAAAAAATTACAATTAAAAAATAATACAGCACTGGTTGAATATAAATCTGGTTTTTACTTTTGCTGATACCATCATGCGAATGACTTCAGTGGTCCGATATGACCACAGCATGTCCTTCTTGAACGATTGTATGGATGTTATTTCCGGCTTAAAATAAGTAACGCTATTGTCTAATGTTACACGTAACCGGTTTGATATAATGTTTTTTTTTTTCGATAACCAATAACTCTTTTTTTTTAGATCATAATTCCACAATAACATAAGAGTGACATAATAATCGACAAAAGTGTTCTTTGCAATGGCTTGGTGTTAAATAAGTATCTCATTTTCAGGTCTAAATGAATTGAAAATTAAATAGATTTCATTGTTCAAGATTTGATCCTAATCAGTAGCGGAACGTCCTTTCTTCGAATTAAGGTAATTAATTGACGGGTGAAAAAAGTTCTGGTTTAAGTAACTGTTTGCGAAACTTCCAACCTTCAAGCCTCTGTACTATCATAAATCCAAAATTTCTAATCGAAATATGCGTCATTATTAAAATTACTACGAAATGAAAAAATAAATTAAAATTTATTAGCTTATCTGGTTACAAACTAGTGGAAAAAATCCCAAATTATAATATTTAAGATTCTTCATTTTTCTTACCTTCTATCTAAAAAAAAATCTGGTGTATCCACTCACTCGACTATCCTACCTACTATACTTACTATACCTACACTCGACTATCTTTGCATATGTCCATCAAGAAACAAAAAAAAATTGAATTAGATTTACCTTCCTGAAAATTGATCAGAGAAAAGATTTGAGTACGGTTTATTTGATAAACTAAAGCAATGTAAACCGGCTTCAGGTAGATCAGTGTAAAAACTTCAATGCCTTCTAATATTATTGATCAAAGACTTTTTGCCATAGCCTAATTTTGTCAAGCAATTATTCTGTTATAAGTAGAGGTAATAGTGAAGCTTGTGTGTTGCAGTTAACAGATTTGCTTACTTTCACTAAGTTATCTTTTTTCTCTCTTTCATCCCTTTCTGTCACCAGGATATGTACCCGTAATCTTACTTTGGAAATTGAATAGCTGTAACTTCGTTAATAGTTGTCCGAAATGAACGATTTTTATATAATTTTTTATGGAACTTCATTACCTTTCAAAAATTTTCTTATACATTTTACCATGGAATATACACTTAGCGGTTTAGGCCCCAAAACATTTTTCTTTTCTTTATAACTTTTTTCCTTAATTTTTTTCGGGAATTTAGTTCATGTAAGAAAATTAAAAGGACAATTATTAGAACATTATTAAAAAAGTTTCATCAAATTCCTTTGAGCCCTTTTCGCGCTACAGTCTATAGAAAAACATGTTTTTAATTTATTGCGCATGGGGCATCCAATTTCTGTCACAGGTATCAATATTCAAAACCCTACAAAATAAAAAAAGAAGCAACAAAATCTAAAAATATTTTTTTCCGACTCAAGGGACTCTGAAACTTATAGATCCGTCGAAAACCGCGTATCGGAAATTTGATCTGATCGCAATACTTTCCTTACCTAGTATAGGTAGGAAAGTAAAAATATGATCATGAATTTTCGAAATATGAAAAACACAATAAAAATGTGAATATACTTATTTTTATATAAAATATTGTTCAAGCAATTAATGTTGCTAGTTCTTTAATAAGCACTCAGAAACATTGAAATTCGTTTTCAAAATTGAAGTCTTGGTCGTGAGAATTGAGACAGTACTCCACCGCTATGGTTCGAATCCGTCTACGTGGATTGTATTTCGTTTCATGTGGCAATGTCGCGGAATAAATCTTGTTCCAACTCTTGCTGGAATATGTTGGTAATACACAGGATAACTATATTTTCCTAGACTAATTGGGAGTACCTACCTAAAGTCCAATGTACCAACAACAACAAGGGAATCAGTGGACAAATTCAACAAGAAAGACATTTCTATAACAAATTTGTTTAAATCAGGAGTCTCCTCTATTATCTAAATTGGTAATACGGTAATTGTCGTTGGTAATATTCAAATGCACATTGTTGTAGAGTTAGCGTTATGGAACCTGTGTAGCACATTGAGTCCTAGTAGAGAACAGAATAGCTTTTTAAATTGTAATTTCATGGTGGCAGTAGTAGCCTTGACTAACTTATATTATCCTTCATATCTTCTAGGTTGTCGTTTTTCATTGGAGGAAACATAGTCTGGACCTTTTTACAATGTTAAATGTTTTCTCATTTATAAATAAGTAATACTAGTTGGGCCCGTGCGATAATAATTCGCAGAAAATTTTGTTTAGTGAAGAAATAGCAAAACAATATGGAAATAAATAGTTCCTATCTATTATGTAAGGAAGGAATTAATATTTATTCCTTGGTCGATTACAATATTCCATTTAACATAATAGACAAAAATAATCGTACAAACAAACTGCTTTGCTTGGTCCTATTTTTAAACATTGACTGGAAAGATAATGAAAGTAATAAAGATAAAATAATTAACCGATCATGGGATTTTTAATTACTAATTAAAAAAAATAAAATGTAAGAACAACCAAATGTCTTTAAGAAATAATAAAGTTAATATATAAGCCAGGAAAAAAATTGTAGTAGACTATTCTTCTGCTAAATGCAATATCTTTAAACAGGAAGACATTATTAAGTATACCAAAATTAATTGACTGTATCTTTGTTAATAATTGTCCGAGTTTTTTGTTTGTCTTGTAGGTAATTTGGTAATCTTTGTAATTATCATCGGTATAATGAAGAAAAAAATGCAAACATTTTGAGCAATTCGCAAATAAAGTTTCTTTTCCTCCATAACTTTTTCCCCAGAAATTTCGGGAAAATGCTACTATTTTTCGCATGTGAAGGAGAAGAATATCTTCAAAATGATGAGTGGTCAATCATTGGATTTGATGAAATTATGGCGTACACGAGAAAAAAAACACTTTTTAGAAATAATATGTAGGATTATATTACTATAAATGTGTGATTTGAAAATAGATGAAAAATTTTTTATCCATTATTCATTAACAATAATTTTTTCTTTTTCTTTTTTGTCATAATTCATTTTTATTCTACTTCTCATGTCCTTAGAAAGCCTTCGGGCAGTAAAAGTGACGTAGCCCAAGATGTATATATTATTGTTATCAGTTTATATATTATAAATTGCCTGTAAATAAATGATGTAGGGTTAGAAAAATTTTGCTTCTCAAGAGGTACTACGAATACAAAAATTAATGAATATCATAGGATTCCTTTAAGGAATATTAAAGGAATTCCAAATTTTACGAATCAGTGAAAAGTGTAACACATCCCGCATTCGACCAGTTTATACATTCTTGGTTATCTCAACGATTACAAAACATGTTTAAAAGTTAATTTTTCTTTAATTTTAGTGTTATATAACACACAAATGGCTGAGCCCCATCGCCTTATTAGAAGTTATAAATAATATGAATAGACAGAAATTATTATGACAGTACAAACTTCTTTAGAATGCAAAGTATGCAGAAATTTTAAAATGAACCTTTTTCCTAAAAAGTTAAATTGTTTTTAAAAAAGGTTCAACACCTATTTATAACGTTTATATTGTACTTTGAA